GCATCTGCAGTCAATATTTTGTATAAGGTCATGGAGGCAAAGTCTGTGTTGTCGTCAGCCTTCCGCAGTGTCCCAGTCCTTTCTCTGTGCAGTAGCACAGTGAGCACGGCTACAGGAGAGCAGAGCCCTGTCCCTGGGCTGGGGCCGAGCGGCAGAGGGAGCTGAAGCCGAGCTCAGCTCCTGCGCTCGGGGGCGGGGAGTGCCCCAATGTCCCTGATCTCCGCTGCCCTAGAGCTGGGGGCGTGGGAGAATGCACAGGCTGAAGCCCTGTGTGGGGCAAGGCAGCACACACAGCTTCTGCAGAAAAAATACTCTTTCTGATAAAATTCTCTGTGTTTTTACTGTAGTGATCTCTTTCATTAGAGCCAGCCAGTTATGCACTGTGTCTGATCCTGCCATGAATCTCCCAAACAGATTCTCGTCTTGAGACATGACTTTCTTGCCAGCTGGGGGGAGCACAAGAAAAGCTCTCCCTTTGGAGCAGATGCCAACATAAAGTCACAGATCACTTGGCAGAGAGCAGTGATACAAAGAAGGAGCCAACATTCTCCGTCTGGGGGCTCAGTACTATTTATCTTCCCTGGGACTTGCCCAGCTCCTCTGGCTCTGAGCCTGGCATTCCAGGTCAGCTCTGCTGAACTGGACTCTGCTAGCTCAGTGTGTGCGAGTACAGAGTGGCATGTGTGCCGTACACACTGCGGAGGGCCCCTCGCTTTCCATTCCACCAACTATTGTACAATTCACAGAGCTACTTCTGCGAGTGCAGGGTGGCTCCAAAAACTCATAACAATGCAGTCTCTTTCTGTAGCTGGCTAGATTAAAACTAGTGGCAGAAAGTCATTGCCATCTGACAGCTGTTCAGAGGCATATGGTAGTTTCAGTTCAATTCCCAATTGACAGGCGTCCCCATCCTAGACACAATTGGCACTGACTCTTGGCAGTCATGGCAGAGGGGATGAGCAGTGAATGGGCAGGGGCAACGAGAGGCAGCTTCTTGCCCCCTGAGAGGGAGACGGGCTGGGAAAATGCAATGAAACTGCCAAGTTTGATAAAGCTGGTTTTCTTTCTCTCCTGCAGTAAACATTATCCCTCCTACTCGCTGAACGTTGCCTCCATGTGGCTGAAATTAGGGAGACTGTATATGGCGTTAAATAACAGAACGGCTGGAGTTAAAGCCCTGAAGAGGGTATTTATTTCCTGGTTTTTTCATTAATACCAGTTCAGACATGGGGTCATTGAAACACTCTGTGCTTCTCTGTCAGTAAGCCTGGCTTGGTGGGAAATGCACCATTTGTTAATATATTTGGTTACTGGATTTTTGGCTCGGATTTGATTTTTCTAGAGATGTAGCATAGGTCTGCTCTAGCAGGCAGGGAGTTTTACCTTTTTGCAGTGGGCTGATACTGCAGCAGCTGGAGTGAGAATTATGCATAAATATTTGCTCCAAGTTGTTCACTGAGCTAGAGCTGCACTAGTGTAAATGAAGCAGAACTATAGCTTCTCCTCATTTGCTGGGTAAGGACAGAAAAAATGCTTGGCTCTTATAAAAGGCACATAGTGTTTCATTGAAGTCTGTGATTTCTATATCCAACTTAAACTAGGCATGCTTTTGGCGGTTATTTGTTCTGGAACCAATTGATTTTTGCATAGCTGAAGGGAATTCAATGCATCTGGTAATGCTGAAATTGGCAAATACAGCATTTGGTTTTACATTTTTCTTCACCCCTTTTTATTAGTCTGTTCCTTATTCCTTAGCTTTTTATTCTTTTATTTTTTTATTAGTCTGTGCTATGTTTCTTGACGTTTTCCCCCCTCTTGTTGTTGGACAGAAGTTTATTTTAGTTTCTTAAGCATCAGTGACTACTGTAGCATATAATGGCTCATGGAATGTCACAATGTATTTATTTTTTCATCTTTTTAGATGCTGGCAAGTTTTTAGCCAGCAATAACAGAGGCATCCAGCCATGGTGGCAAGATGCTACAAGAATATATGCTCTAAAATTTAACTGTTACCTGGTTTGAAATTAACATAGGTTTTCCTTCCCTGTGGTGTTAAACCTTTGAATAGAAATGGGAACTGTGCCAGTAAGAGCACGGGATGGGGGGTAGGGAACTGTTAGGTAGATTTGTTGGCAGAGTTAGTTTCCTAACACAAACATTTTCTAATGACTCACTTCCAAAAGCTGTCTACAGGAACTGCCCAAAGTTATCCCAGCCCCTTATGTTTGGGATTTAGTGGAAAAACAAACCCATTGTTCTCTGTCAGTTTGTGAGCAGCTCATCCAGAAGGCCCTCCTTTCTTCTTTCAGGCAGGAGGAGGAGTGGAGTTATTTCTTGCTGCTGCTGAGGTGGAACCAAAAGCCTTTGCTGTATTGACTTAACAAATACAAGAGCATAATTGCATAAAAGTTTCCCAAGGAGAAAATGACTAAATGCTCAGAGGGCTATTCCTTGTTCTGTCTTTAAGTATTTTCAGACTTACACTGAACTTGCTTCTAGTTCTGTCTACTGCTGCCTTTCATCACATCTGCTTGGGGGTGCTGCTGTCCTTTTCTCAAGTGGAAACCTTGCCCCTGCACACACACTGCCATGAATGTGGGTAATGGCAGGAAAAGTGCAAGTCAGGGGGTTTGGCTGCCTGCAGTGTTCACTCTTAGGACTGGAGCAGGCTGTAGATGAAATAGCAGGGAGTCGAGCAGTGTCGGTCTGAACCGGACAGGATTTCACTTTTTGCCTAAGACATTGCTTCCTTCCTAAAGTGTTAGTAGCCCCTGGAACCAATGGAGGGTTTACAAAATCAAGTTTGAAGTGCCTTAATGTAACTTCTGCAGCAGGCCTGCACGTGTGACAGATGAAGGATAAATTGGTAGGAACACAGCTCACTCTGAGGACTGGCTAAGTCCTCTGCCAGAATATTACCCATCGCACTTGCAGTTTTCTGTCCTGGAGCTGGTTGCATTCAAAGTAGTTTTGTCAGGAATATCATTTTGAAAGTTGCTTTGGGCTCCTTTAAGATCAAAGATGTATTCTCTGAATGTAAAACCTTTATTACTTAGTTTTGAATTTCATTTTATTTCCTACTGGGTTTATGAGTACAAGGGGACAAAAAGTAGCTAGAGGTGTCAGACTGCTTCAAACCTCTAAAGAGAGTATTTATAGCCTGGTGTTATATATGAATCAATTGTGTGAATATTTTTTTTTTCTTTTCATAGGCAATTGCTATCATGGAAGTAGCACATGGGAAAGATCATCCATACATTTCAGAGATCAAAAAGGAATTAGAGGACCACTGAGCTTTTGAATCTATGCAATCCTTCAAACCTTTATTTAAAAAGCCTTGTTATGGAAACCTTCAGGAGTGCTTTGAAAAGCGGTAGAGTGAACACAGTTCTGTCCTATAATTGGAATGACAAACACACTTAGGCCTAGCTTCCTAGCTTCCACCCATCTACAATTGCCTTTTTTTTTTCTTTTAAGGAAGCATCCATGGTTTCTTGAAGGTTATGCCTTCTGACAGTTCATGTGCAAAAGTGGCCATTTTCTTCTTTAGGGATTTCAATGTGGATCTTATTTGTGTAAAGTCAATAAAGTGGTCTTGACCCCTCTTGATTCCACTTATACACTTAAATGGGTGCAATAGTTTTGTGACATCTACTTTTGCCTAAATAGTTTTGTTTAATCTGACAAATTAGCAAAAGCTGTACTTTTTTCTGTTCTGGTTTGGCATCCATTTCCTTTTTTCATGAATCATTTTTGTTTGCAGTGGCTTAGCTGAGAGAAAGGGGAAGTGGGTGATGAATTCTGCGCATTTCACAGGAAAGCCACCACTGTTCCCTCAGCCAGTTATTCTACAGGTGGGGATTCATCACAGTAAGGACCTAGAGCTTAGCACATCTTGTACAGAGAATGCTGGCACCTATCTCGGAGCTCAAAGGCTTGCACAAGACATGAACTATGCAATTTCTGGCTTTTTAGTCCCCTTCACAAGTTGAAGTGAATTTATTGCTCATATTTCCTTACAGCCATACCTTCACCTCCAGTGTATTACAACTATTCTGTTAATATGTTATCAATTACTTTTAAAAGAGGAGCAAGAACATTTTCTGAGGAAAAAGTCCAGGACTTAGCTTTCTCTACCCATATATAAAACATGGGGGTGTTGGGTTTTTTTTCCTCTATTTAGATCAGTTGTAGGAGATTGCTTTTAAGGATGGAGGGGGGAAAAAAAAGAGCGTGGCTGTGCACTTGCAGCACCAACATTTAAATATGGTGCCCAGTAAAAGTACCTGCCCATTCCTTGCTGCTTTCACGGCTTATAAAGTATGATGAGAAAGAGAACACATCACCCTTGAGAACTTTACTGTATTTTCTTTCTTGTAAGCACTGCTCTGAAAATAAAACTGCTAGAACAAGGGTTTGTCAGCTCATTTTGCTGAAGGTTTTCATTGCTCTCCAGCCAGCAGTTGTTGCTGGAGTACATAAAACTGCACCAGATCTTAAAATTCAAGAAAGCCAAGACCATTTAACTACAGCCAAACCTAGGAAGAGGGCACTAGCTGACTATTTTTCTCCTAACTTTATCTTGCCAAGTAAACCCCTGTCCAGGGAAATAGCACCTTTACTTCAGAAAGTCTATCCAGAGCCCAGACTATGCTTCAACACCAAAGAATCTGATGAGCTGAGCATGAGCCCCTGTGAAACCTGGATTACAGTTTACAGAAGGTTATTCAAAGCTCACTGTGGCTCTGGCTGTGCCTATCAGTTTAACATGGGAAACCAACTCAAGTACGGTAGGTGCAAATACAAAACCTTACGCTGGTACAGAAAAAGAACACAAGCATAGTTTTCCTTGAAAAAAAATGTTTTATTGTTTACTGTGAATATGAAGAACAGCCTTACCAAAAAACCTCAGTGACTGAAGACATTCTCATATTTGGAAAAACATATAAGAAACTATTTACACAAAGGCAGTGAAAGGGGTAAAAAATTATTGCAGTCAATTAATGCTGAATAGAACTTTTTATTATAAAAAGAGAAAGAAAAGAAACAGTGCAAAAATACTGTCAAAAGTAATCAGTTCTATACAGAAGATAAAACTGACAAGCATAAGCTTATGTACTGATATGAATAATACATTAGAATATTAAAAAATAGCATGCATAGATTTTTTTTTAAGGCTTTCAATAGCATAGAATAGCTCTGCCATTCAGCCCTAACAGGAGGGAGCAGGGGGCAGGGAGGGCATAAAACTGATGTCTCATTTCTCTACAAAATGTGTACGTACAATGAGGTGGTGAGATCCAGATCACTGTTTTGTGCTAAACTGTCATGAACAGAATTACGGAACAAATGAAACAGGAAGCATCAAAATACTGAAGTAAAACAGGACAGGAAAATCCAGTGACATAAAACTTAAACATGTTATTTCATGTAACATGTTCCACACAATTACATATGGGAATATTACAGTCATCTGCATGTGTAAACTTTTTTCCTTTGTAAAATAATCAAAGAAGGGTACTTTACTAGTGAGGAAAATGTGTTTTCCATATGGAGCAACTGCAACAGGATAAACATCCTATTGACGGTGTTTCTGGCACTAAAGATTTGCCTTCTTTTAAAGACCAAGTAGAAGCAAGAAAATACTTTTATTTAACATACACAAAAAAGAAGTTCTTATATATTAAATCTATAATTAAGCTATGGAACTCACCAACACAGGACATTGTGAAAGCCAGAGGAATAAATGGCTTCTAAAGAAAAGGTAATGTGATTTATTGAAGATGGATCTATCAGTAGATTTACTAAATACAGTAAATGGAATACAACTTTGGCCTCAGGAAGCCCCTCAAGGACTGGCTGCCAGGTGTACTAGAGGGGCTGAGCACCCTTTTCTGGACATGTTCATATTTCTTCTTAAGTGTCTACTACCAGCCCCTGTCTAAGTCAGGGTGTGCCCTTGAACCTGACATGGATATAGTTTGTGGAAAGCTTTCCTCTTTTATGCTGCCTGCATAATCAGGGAACACTACCCCTGAAATGCCTGGAGCTGAGTGTCCAACCACTGAGTCCTTACTCAGGTGATTTGGAAGAGTAAAACTGTTAAGCACTCTAGTTCAGGGATCAGTTGCAGTATTAGTCCTTCCCTTGCTGTTAAATAGTTCTGGGATTCTCCAGTGGAAGCTACTATTTATCATGATTTCCAGTTCACTCTCCAAAGGCAAAGTCCTGGTGTACATGTGGGAAACTCTCAGTGAGGGCGCACATAAAGCAGAGGCAACAAAACTTCAAAGAAATGCCAACCAAAAAATAGCTCAGAGGAACCAATAGAACTGTAATCTAAGATACTCTAAAAACACTGACAAAAATCTATTTACTTTAAATATTTATATAAACACTGCTATTTTTGACCTATGCAATGTTTTGTTTCACAATCTAACAATAGTTTATTTACGTTTAATACCTCCATCTTCTGTTATTTGCCCCACAGCCCAAGCAGCCAGTTGTTCCCTTCCTCAAATCACAATCCCTGCAAACAGCTGCATGTATAGTGTCCTCCTCTCTAAAGACTCATATGGCATCTGTAGTTCCCATAGCGCCAGATTCTACAAGCAAACCTCTCTCTTACTGGCATAAAACCCCATCCCCAAACTCCTTATGACTTTACGTATGTATCAGCAGATTTATATTCATTTTTGTAGAACAGTGGTCAAATGCTGTTTTCATGCAGTTCCTCCTTTCACAGTCAGTTCAGGTATTTGCTCCTGCAATATGATGCAGCCTTTATTTCCTGCAGTAGGTGCTGCCCTAGCATTTTTTTTCCCACAAAGACAAGCAGCAAGATTTGACTCAGACCTCCCTCAGTGATGCATGAGAGCTGCAGATCACAAACTGCTAGCAAGGCTGACAACAGCTAATTCAGTCATCATCTCCTCCCAGGAGACCGGTGGGAAGTCAGCTGTTGAGAATGCAGCATCATCAGTAGCTGCTGAATTTTTCCTATAGATTTTTGCTATATCCAAGTACAAGATTTTCATCAGCATTTATTTCAGAGCTGCTTGTGGACTACACGGACAAAGCAGATGTTGGATCAAAAAAATAATGTTTTGGCTTACAATGAGCATAAGTATTGAAGCACTTAAGTTGGAAGAGAACGAGTAAGTCTGTGTTTTGCCATTTGCATTTCTGTTTGTTTACATGGAAGTAATTTAAAAAGAAAAAAAAAGACTTTTGAAATCATGCAAATATTTAATAATATTTGTAGCTGAGGCAGCTGATTTCCATAAGTGGAACAGAAATGTCCTTCAATATATTTCAAGGACTGTTAGCAACAGGTTGAATAAGTTCTCACAGATGTGTGTCCTGCCAGATGAAATTCATTTAGGGAAAAGGTATTTCTGATGAGGCTGAGCATTTAGGGTTTCTGTATAACTATAAAGGAAAATTTTTGTGGGAACGAGCTTCATCTTTTCTCAGGTAGTCAAGGACAAGAGGTGCCAAAACAGGCCTTAGTAGGATCTGGAACAAGTAGGACCTCAGCTGTTAATGTCCACCATCCAGGATACCCACCAGCACTGAGCAGTGTCCAAACTCAGCTGTCATCTCTCCCATCCCTGATTGAACAATGGTAGGCATGAAATCTTGGACCTTAACCAAAAAATTGATGCCAGCACCTCAATACTATCATTGGTAACAATTTAAAGAAAAAAAGCAAAGCGTGTTAAATACACATGAAGAGTGCATAAAAAAGGAAAACAGACACAATGGATTCCCAAGCCAGACTTATCCACTGCAAGTTCTGTCTCAGAAAGCATGAGGGAACATAGGCTAAACATGCCACACTGCAATGTGGGTGCCCTGGGAGAAGACAGCTTATGTTAAACTTGTTCCATTCATTGAAGCATCTTTGTGAGATTTTTAGTCTAGACTTTACTCCATGGATGAAACTGGTTTCAAACATTGTCATGCTTTGATGTTAAAAAAACAAGCAACACAACATACAGCAACTCCAAACTGTCCTTTTCTCCTTAAGGACTGTGCTGTTAAAAGTCTGTGGGACAGAAACTAAATAGCACTGTTGCTTTAAGTCTCATGTGTTCATTCCTGCTGTGACTAACAAAATTGGATGCAAAATGCATTTTCCTGTCACTCCCTAAAGGTTAGGAAATACTGCCCAAGCAATTTCGGCCTGATAAAACTACAGCAGGTTCAAAGTCAGAAGGTTCAGTTTTTCCCTTACAGAACTGTGTCACATTTCAACCATAAAACATCGGCATGCTGAGGGTCAGTTGCAAGCTGGGGTGGAAAGGAACCTCTGAAGACATGCACCAGCCCAATTCACTTATGATATTAGCAGATCTACTCAAGATAAAATCTAGCAGGGAAAAATACATTGAAGTCAGATGAAAGGAAAAGTTTAAAATTACCATTCTTTGACAATGAAAGGGAAAAAGTGAGTCACATTGACTTCTATCTACCGTACCAGCCACATTACGGATTAATTAGAAATGACTGTATACTACATGGCCATTTATTTGGCTCATTAATAGGCGCTGAATTAATTTGGAAAGGATTTTTGGTGCCTTTTTCTAATTAATATTTTTCTAAGACAACTATGATGCATCTTTGCATTAAAAACATTTACTTAATTTTCTTCCCTTCAAACACAGCTCTTCATACTCTCTTATGCAGTAACTTTCCTGTGCTCACTGTAGAAGCAGAAGTACACATTTCAGCCAAGAGCAGCTGAATAATAAGACATAGGAACAGATTCTTTTCCCTCCTGATTTTCTACTTCTCATATCCAAGTGGAGCAATGGGACTTGACAGCTCTGAGTTCAAACTTAATTCATCATTAGGAAATTATTCAAAAAGTTATAACGAGATAACTAATTTAATACACTTTGCTTCAAGGTTTATTCCTTGGCTTTTTTCCCAGATATAAAGCATCTCTGTGCAATTATCATGCAGATGCTGCTGAAAAGACTTTAAATGGTTGCTGCTAATTTAACGAGATATGTTGGCAGTGGCAGAAGAAATTAGAGGAAAACTGAAGTTGACTGAAAACTCAACTGATCCCTAAAAAGAACGTGGTCAAGGTATTACAGAAAAATAACTCATCTCCATTTATTGGTAGCTAGAAATCTTCACTGGAATCTTTGTCACCTTGTTAGGTTGTATTGCAGAGATCCAAACCAACACAGTGCAGTTTTAAGCAATTTAAGAAACATTCTAGTACAGAACCTGAGCTTAAGCTCCCACTGATTTTAGTCCCTTTAGTGCTGAAATTCAGAGTGCTTGTAGGCTTAGATCTTGTACACTGACCATGGTTTGGAGGAGGGGATGTAACAGAAAAGCAACAATAGGACTAAAATATTTAAAATTATCTGGGAAAGGGATACCAAGAAAGGTAATTTCACCATGACAGAGTAACTGCATTGCATCACGTGCCCTGAGAGGCTATGAAATCTTCACCCTTGAAAATTCTGAAACTAGACGTGACCCTGGGCAAGCCTATCCAAGTTTAAAGTTAGCAGTAGGGTGAACAGGGCTGGGACCAGAGACATCCCAGGCTCCTCTCCAGCCTCATCCCTTCTCTAGCCATCAGATGATAGTTCACACATGAAAACTAAGGCAACCAGGGATGCCTAATTTAAATGAGATTCCTTTTCTACAGGAGGTGAGCCTCAAGGCAATAATAATTTCAGTGTAATCCATGAGAAGGTGCTTGATTTGATTTTTTTCAGATGCATTTGGTTGAAAATCCTATGCTGTTCAACTCAGTCCACCACAATTACTGAAAAAACTCACTCACTGACTTCAGCCTGTTGTGGGTCAATGCACTTCACCCTACACTGCTTCTTATGAATCCCTTCAAGGGCTGCACACAGCAGCAAAGGCCTCGTTTAAAAGATCCAATATTGATTTTTTCAAACTGTAATTCTTGTGGAATTTGAACAGTTTAGCACACAAAATTCTCTGTCCTCACAATGTCCTGTGTTTGAGCCCTCTGTAATGTGCCCGCCTGCACGTGCAGAAGTTCAGGTCTCAGTGCTGTGTACCCTCAGCTTCCACTCACACAGAGCTGTAGCTGACATCCAGCAGGTCTTGTTTTTGCCACGGAAGCCACGTACCTCCGTCCAGAACGTCCTCACGTGAGAAAAAAGCCCACTGCCAAATAACTGTTCATTTCAGAAGCTGTGTAGCAAAATTAAAGCTAGTAAACTACCTTTACAAAGGATTGCTCTCCTTTATGGGCACGTTACAGTGCAGACCAGTCATGTCAAATGTGGTTCACTTTGAAGGTCACTATAAGATTTACGAGTTATTAAAGTAATTCAAAAGTTATTCCAAGAAAAATAAATTATATCTTGTATAAAATAATCCACGGGAGACTAGTAAAGAACAATAATTCCTTACTTTCAAGACAACTTTAAAAAGTGCAATATATGCACACAGTGTTGTCAAGGCAGTTCTCCTTGCACATCAGTAAGGTTCAGTCAGATCCACAAAGCTGGGTCTGGGATGTTTGAAAAGATTAAATAAGTCTAGAGTTTTGCAGGAATTGTATGAGCACTTGATAAACAAATTTGTACTGGGCTATGGTCTGGATCATAAACACTCTCTGCTCCCGCAGGTGTCTCAGCATCACAGGAACGTCCATTTTCTGTAAAGCAAAGGGGAAAAAAAAGAATAAGGACGTAAGTTCATTAAATCAAACAATTATTGAGATTTTTCAAATGGCAAAGAGGCATCAGGGTCACAAGAACAAAGGTTCCTTGGACAAAACTAAAAGTGCACGCAAATATACTGATCCTTTCACTAAGAGAGAAGAGAACTCATTGTCACCAAAAGATCCAAAAACTCCAACATCTGACCTTCCACAGCCAAGTCTATGTTAGCAAATAATACTCCAGGAGAAATAACTCTGTAAAGTGAAACAAGGACCCATTATCCACAATACATGTTTTGCAGACTTTAGGCCAGCAGCAGTTTGTTGCCATCTACTGAACATCCACTAGCAGCTGGGACATGTTAGGTGTTCTCCAAGAAGGCATCTTCCAGTTTGGTTCATCCAAACAAAATTCACTTGTCTGCCCTGAAAAATGCTCTTCAGCAGGAACTAAAGTACAGTAATTAGGCACGGATAAGGAGATTCACTATGAAAGTACATCCCTAACCCCATGGAGCACACTGGGGCACAGGCACCCTATAATGATCTGAACTCAAAACCAAATGAGTTGTGTGAAACAGAGGCCCATGAGGTAAAGCATTAAAAATCACTGCAAATTTCATTAGGTGCTATCATTGGATCTCTGGCATTTAAGGAACAAAAAACCTGTGATGCTATTGTGTTTTATCTGTTACAACAGGTACACAAGCAGCTATTCAGAATTCATTGAGCCATGAAGCTCAGCCTGCCAGGCTCAAATTCAAACAGCGTGTAATATGACCCAAGATGAGGGATACAAATTTTCTATGGCAGCAGTAAATGTAAGCACTAAAATTCATGCTGTTTTTGAGGAAGCTCTTAAGCAGTTCAAGATACAAAACTGAAGAACAGCTACCGTATCAGATGACATAAGCTCCACTTTGTAATGCCAGTTTGCCATTACAGAAACACAAAAAGGAACTTAGAAAATTTGAGTAAGATTGCTGCTAACCCTTGGAGGCCCAACTGAGCATGGAATCTGCTTCCAGACACATGGGAAGTTTCCTGGAAAGTTTAAAATAAAAGTCACGCTGCATATCCATTTCTGTCCATATATATAAAACCCAGAATGTCCATTCCATGTAAACAAGTCTTAACTCATAGGCTATCACTTTCTGAAAACAAGGCCAAATATTCTGCCACATACCCCAACAAGTTGTTATAAAAGGACACCTCTAGAGAGTCAACAAGTATAAAAATTTGTGATGAGTAATGCCATATTATTATCAAACGGGTTCAAAGAAAAATGTAAGCTCTTTCCAGTTAACTTGGCCAACTTGGAGAAAGCCTCCCTGTGGACTCAGATGCTTGCAAAAGCCACACGGTCCTTGCTGAGCAGAGTCATGTAGAACTTGATCTCACCTGAAAAACTGCAACAAAAATGCAGGCCAGCTTCGACCTGCACACCATATTTCTCTCTTGGCAGTCTGGTGCATGACAGCTCATTGATTTTTAGTGGACACACAGTGATCCGTGCACCTCCTCAAAATGGAGATGACTTCACCTTCTCAGAAATGAAAGAAAACTCCATCCTGTCTATTAAACCTCACTATTTATAGCCAACTTAGCATTTGACTCCAGGTAAGGAGTCCCTTAAACTCACCTTCATTATGATGTACATGTCCAAAAAAAAAAAAAAGGGCACATAATGCTTTGCTAAGCTGGCACTTGTAAACAGAACAAACGAAAATGCCACTCATTTCTAAAACTCCCAAACTAAAAGACCTCCCCTTTGAAAACATGCTGCAGTTGCAATCATGAGTTAATGTCCCAGTGCCAAGTCTGAACTAAAAGTTGATAGAGCAGGATCTCAGTTACTTTCCTCTACTACATGTCTACAGCAGCAAGGATGTAATGATGTGACATTTACTTGCTATGCAGCAGTGACTGAAATGCTATCCCTGCAATGAGATACACAGCTTTAGACTCAACCAGCCATTGCCCAGAAGCCACAGTGACTGAAGCTGTATAGATTTTGATTAGACACAGCTTTTTGCCCAAACCTGAAACCTCAGACTCAAGGGTTCTGGTTTTTGTTCCAGCACTACTGCAGACTTTCCAAGATGGTCTGTATGAAGACTGCCAGATTCCTTCCTCATTTTCCTTCATTGCAAAAATGTTGATACTTCTACTTACTAGGACACTTCTGAGGAAATCAACCAATTCCTAAGACTAAAACATTTTAAGTGATAAGTAATTTTATTTCAGGAGAAAACCCTGAATTAATACTACTACAAAATAAACAAGTGAAAAGGAACCATCTCTGTGCAGAATGGAGTATCTGTGACAAACCAAAAGCATACTGTTTTGATTTTTAATCTTTTTTTTTTTTTCAATTAGGTTTTAACAAACCAAAAACATTAACTTAGTACAATCTAGAGCAACAAAGCCCTTAAGGAAAATTTTATTTAATATTAATGATGATTTTCATTATTAATCAAGACAAAAGAATCCTTTAATTAAGGGACATCAGAGAAATCCTTATTGAGCACTACCATCAGGTCCTAGAGAAGTTGATGAAAATTCTTATGAATGATGTCAAGGCTAACCCCCATGCTCAGATGCTGAGGTACTGCCTTTATCTTCACTTGCTACTCAGCTACTCTTTCCCAAATGGGTGACTTCTGTAAACCACAGACAAATGGAGGTGGCAGACAGTGTTACACAACCCTTAATGTTTGTTTCCGTGCATATACAGAGGTTGCTACAAAGTAGACACAGCTACACTGATGGTCACAAGCAATTCAGGGACAGCTCTTCAAACTCTCCAGCTTTCCTCTGGCATGCAGAAATTTCATGGCTACTGTGTGCACAACAGAAGCAGTCACTTCCAGGTGCCAGTGCATAAGGAAGGTCAAGCAGGCTCAAGAGTCGGAGCCATCATCCCACACAGGAGCAGTTTCTGAGCAGCAGTCAGCATAGGAAGGCTGCTGGGTTCTCAAAATGCATACCTGTGGACCCTTTCTTGTCCAGGCCACCTCCTTCTTTTCCTTCCTCACCCTCCTGCCTCCCCCGCAAATAAAAAGCAAAGGAAAAAAAGTGTCAGTAGTGACATCGATCTACAGGACAGTGGCACCTCTAGTGACGCCCAAGCAGAGTTGGAGGAGGCTTGTCTGTCAGCTGACCTGGGCCCAAGATCTCTAGCCATCTTGTAACTACAGAGTGATGAGCTGCTGGAGTCTTCAGTCTTCCCTGAACTCATTCAGTGGCTGATTACTGGGAGAGGCAGATGATATATGTCTATTTGTTACTCTTGCTGCATTCCTATCTCTACAAATGCTCTCTCATAGAGCATTTTCTTTGGCAAGAGAAATCCCTGGTTTCCATAGCTGTCATGAAAACTGTGTGTCACGTTGTTAGTTAAGATGCGATGTTCTTCCTAGACAGTTTCTCAGTGACACAAATGAAAAGCAAGTTGCTACACATGGTTACTCTACTGGTGATCTTATTCTTAACTCCAGACTGTATTACTCGTCATATTGTCTGCAAATCTTAAAGCCCTATTCCCCATTGGAATACATATACACATCTTATTCTTAAAACACAGTTAAGTTTCATTCCAGGTGAGATTAAGGTCCATATGAGAAAGAGGAAGAAGTCTAAAGAGCAAATTTAGAGAGCAGAAAACTTTAGTTAAAAGAGCAAGGACATTATTCTCTAGCCTCTTTCAGGTACTCCTTGTAAACATGCTGTCTCTAGACTTTTAATTAAATACAGGTATAAATTAGACTAAATTCTTAAAAGAGAGAAGAAAAGCCTAATTTTGAATGCATTAGAATAATCCTAATAAAAAATGCATAAAATCAACTAAACAGAAAACTACAACAAGTAACCTTCCATGGGTAATCTCTGCCTGTTACATTTAAGGCTCTCACATTGCTCACAAAGGTAGCAGAGAAAGAAAGCACTTCAATGCCTTTTAATTTTAACCTCAGAAATGTATCTAGTTAGTCAAGGAACGAGCTCGGGTCAGGGGTTTGTCCTGCAAAAGAAGCTGACTTACTTCATTATGCTCCAAGCACCCAATCATCAGTTCTGTTAGGATAACCACTCCAGTCCTTCCTACCCCTGCGCTGCAGTGAACCACAATGGGAGGGTTGCAGGTGTTGCTGCTGTCCAGCACGCTGTTGGTGTGGCGACGCACCGACTGTATCTCCTCCAAGTAAGCTGCAAGGTAAAATGCAGGCAATGTTGCAACATCTATATGTCTAAACGTAAAATTCGACAGGGGGAAAGGGTGAAAGAATGTGGAAAAGTCATTCTTTACCTAAGTGGCAATAATTTACATTTTTACAACATACTAATTATTTTGGCCAGGGTGCATGGAACAGCACTGCATCCAGCAAGTACCAGCTGGGTGTCAATTATTACTTGGGAGTCTGCTCCTTTAAATTAAATAGTTCTTTTAAAAAATTAAATTCTGTTTTCCCCCTTGCAAATCTCCAGGTCCCCTAAGCAGATGATTCTAGACATTACTTACAGCAATTCCTGCTATTAACAGGCTGGGATCAAAACAACAGCTAAGTCCTACTGAAACTGCTGCCTGTCAAAGCCAGCATCAGATGGGAAACAAGCATCCAGCTGCCCGTTTCCTCCCTTCCTTCTCCCTTCTAGACTGAGATGGAATCTCACCCACCTGCTCAGGGTTTGTTTCTCAATAGTTATTATGAGCTCTTCTGGGAGATCACTGCCTTAGTTTTCCCTGAAGCCATTTCTAGAACAGTTACACTGTGTGGCTGTCCTAGCCTTGTTCAACACAACACATTCTACTGTCAAACTGCACCGAGAACCTTAAGTACTGGAAGCTTACTTAGCTTCTCAGCAGTCAGAGTGGGAAGTGAGACCTGAGGTGAACTCTCCTGCACTGACTATTGATGTCATGGCACTACAGCCTAAGCTGTCCTTTCACCACTGGCAGGATGCAGCTGGAGGCCTACCAACATCAGAAAAGCTGAAATTTTAATGCACAGTGAAATGGGACCGTAAGTGGTGGCACGTAATGGGAGAGAGGAAATGGGGACAGTCAGGTTCCAATTACTGCCATGCCCAACCACAGCTACAAGAGTTGGTAAGAGAAACAAAGTACAGAGCAAACTAGGAATTGGGCAATAGCTTTTCCTTAAAGACAGATCCCTTGGCACTCCTCTGCTGAAGCCAAAATGTCATTTTTTATTTTTTTTTTTGCCCTGGTGACAGAACTGGGAAAAGAAGGACACGCTATTTACATCAAGCTTGTACCATGCAAAAGAGAATGGACCACTAAAGGACTGTAGCTGTGTCAAGACTGAAGTAGAACTAAAGGACCTTCCTGAGAGGGGACTTAGCTGCCACAGAGCTACACTGCAGCTGCAAAACTTTCAGGAACTAAGAAGGCAGGCATCATCAACATGTCAGTACACCATGTACAGGCTCCTTCAATGTTAATTTAAAGAAATCTGTATTAATTTAATTTAAAGATTCTCTGCCATAGTGCCAGATATGTCACTTTAGTTAAATAATGGTTGAATTCCTATTACTTAATATGGAAATATACATTACTTATTAAGAAGCGGGGAGTGTTATTCACACATTACAGATGAATATAATGGCTGTATTTTCAGAAATGCATGAACTAGCACCATAAGTTATTGGGAAGGCCCTTGAGCATCACATGTGGTTAGAAAAGTGGTATCAAGTTCAAACTTAATGCATGTGTGTCAGAGGCCTCTGCTATTTTGCAACAAGAAAAACTGGAGGAACTGCACCATATTTCACTAAAACCTGATCCTCTCTTACCTAGACCTCTCTAATCACATTTGTGTGCAGCCTAGTACCTCCTACACTCATTAGGTGTCTGGGAAGTGGTGATAACTTACACTGACAGATCAGCCAGCAGAGGTATCCTATTATTTAAAATTTCCTGAGTCTTTGGCATTGCTGCTGCCTTGAATTATTCCTCTTGTTAATCACCTTAGCTGCTACCTCTTGAATCCCACTTTTTTTCTCCAAATTGCAGCAAAGTACAATCTAGTTGAGGCCTTTATATGCCACAGCAATAACCATTTAATATCAATCCCAGGTGTAACTGGGTTCAGTGAATTGAATTCAGCGTGAGCAACCTTCTCCTTGATGTATTTTATCATGCAAGATAAAGAAATCTTACATAAAAAGCCTTGGACTTCTTCTGGACACCCATGGTCTGGCCAGTCAGTATACTGCAAATGCCACACTGTCCTCTCTTGTCCAGAGAGAAGATGCTTGACCTTCAGACCAGTAGTTGCAAAGCAGCCAGAGTCTGTGCGGAACTTTGTTGTCACCTTGAACTTCCCATAAGTGGCTGAGCTGTGCTTAGAGCCCAGTTTAGGCCAATAACGATGGCTCTTACTTCTTCCTCCCTCCTTAAAAACAAAACAAAACAAAAAGTCATTAGTTCCTGCAATTATAATTCTTTGTAAACAGAGGACATAAAACCGAAGATAAGCCAAATATTCTTATTGCAAATTACTGGAAGAGCAAGGAGCATCCCACAAAGTAAAGAAAAATATCCATTAACACTTAAACCTCTCAGCCATGTAATATTTGAAAGTGTAAAACTGCTTTGAAGAACAACCTCTTGTCTTGTGGCAAAAGATAGCTACTGCCTGCAGCACCTTGGTAAATATTTTCCCCCTGGGGAAGCCTCTCCTTTAAATGAAGGGAGATTCTCTCCAGCGGCTTCTAGGTATCTGCTCTTGATCAGCCTTGGGAACTAGACAGTGACTTGATGTGCTCTGCTACTCCCTGTGTTTGCTGAAAACAACCAGGCATAAAGCTGAAAGCTGTGTTAGTTAACAACGCGTGTCAGTTTTTATAACATATCACATAGTTCTTGGATTACAGTAGAAATAACTGTTTTGCTTGGCATTAGAATAAAAAAGTTGTGGGGGATTTTTTTGTTTGTTTTTGTTGTTTGGTTTTGGTTTTTTTTTACATGGACACTTCTATGGAAACAACAGCTTCTGGTCTCTTTTCAGCTGATAAGAGTGATAGTATGCAGAACTGGCCTTGGATGGTGTGGAACTCTGTGTCATTTTAACCAAGAGCAGTTCAGTGCTCTCACATTCCAGTGGAAACATCTTTGTTTGGCTTGGCCAAAGCAGGGGCAAGGGGGGCTTCTGCTTGTTTGCTTTAGCACTTGCCAAACTGAGTATCAGAATGCTACAAAGTATAGTATGAGAGAAGTACAGGCATATGTTCAAACAGAGTTATAGGAAAAAGGGATGTTGATAGAAAAAACAGGTTACTGGAGTGGGAAGCAATGATAACAGGAGATTTGCTCACATCAGGAAGAACTGTATGCTGTGATTTCACGTACCTCTTCAGCTGTGACCATGGCTATAACATTCACTCCCTGTTCCCACACCATCTGCCAGAAGTCATGGCATGTGTGTGGCAGAGGTCCTTGGGTAGCAATGTAGTGCCATTCCTCTCCACCTACAGTAACCTGGGAGAAAGGAAAAAAGCCGAACCAGTCAGTGCCCAAATTCTCAGCATCACCTGTGCCAGAACCACCTTTTAAACAAGAGACTATAATGAAATCTTTACTTCTTTGTTCTTCTGCTTTTGTTCAAAATTTTCAGCAAAAATCATCCTTTTGATTAGATCAAATCTGACAAAACATAATCTTCAGTGCTTCCACATCCTGTCTTGATGCTCATAAACATAAAGCTTTGACCTAAATGCCATCTATCTTTCTTGCCATTCTGTCTGGATCATACACACAAAAAAACCCAAACAAACAAACCAGGGAAAAAAATTTTTTTTTGAGACCCTGTTTCTGATATGTCTTAAGTACAAACAAGCAACTGACTCACATCCCTGGCCTTGGTGACAGACCCAAGATGAAAGAAAAGCTGAGGACCAGAGGAAGCGCATATGTGCATTAAAAAGGCATCGCACTGCTTGCAAATTAACACATGGTAGTGCAGAATGTAAATAACACTCTGCATGAGGAGCTAAAGGCCTCTGTTGTTTAGGACCTCCCTCGATTATTTTCCACTCAGACAAAAAGTAATTTATTAAACAGACTCTTACTACACTGATCACTGTTGAAGATGCGGCCAAGCCGTTCCTAGAGGACGCAGCTATGCCCACACTTTGTACATAACAGAGCTCAACAGGCCTGTTGCCAGCCACAGATGAGATCAAGACAGGCTCCATTTCGAGTTACTCTTCCTCATTTATCTTGGTTTTTTCTGTTCAGAAGCTGCAAATGACCATACAGTAAATCCAGTGCATTAAATGGCTTTCAAATACCACGAGAAATTTAAAATTATCTAAAGCTGTAGTCATGCAAATCTATTTCCCAATACATAACTGGTTTACCAACCACATCTGACAGAAATATTTGTGTATTGCATGATGGTGAGTAATGAAATTCTTTTTAAAGCACTAACACACAGATTTACACACTATAAATCATATAGTGCCCTAAACAGACACAGCATTACCTTGGAGTTAGCCAGTGTAAAACACTACTTCATTTAATTGATGGAGGCAGAAAGTTATACTTGTGCAGTTAAAAAAAAAAGTCATTTGTGTATAAAAAATTATAATTTTATGACATAGTTTGCTATACACAAGGTTTGTAAAATTTTTTTTAACATTTTAGGTAAAAAGTCAAAGTGCTTTCAGAGCTACTACATATCATTTAAAAATATGCTTAGCAGCAAAACCAGATGAACTAATTGTTTTGGAAAGTTGAAATATTTTTCCTTCTCAGGATAAGGCCTCTTACTTCTGTGTATTAGCCCAGAGCCACTTCTTGCAAAGTTATAAATCCCAGAGAAGATTTACAACTGAAATGCTGACGTGTCCATAAATATCAAGGTACTGGCAGACAGTGCTACAAGGAACAATCAATAACTCTGACAGGTTGAACCATATAATGTGTTTGAGGTACAAGTCTTTGAATACATTTTCAGAAATAGAATCAGTTTATTTGTTAGTGAAACAACTGTTCATTAAGTTGAGATGCTTGGGGTTTTACACCAGTAACTAACAGTTTCTGTATGATAAGTTTTTCACTTCATTGAAAACCGTTTGACTCTCTACATCAGCTCCTTTTCTTATTTCGTACTGTGCAGGTTTGGTTTTTTGGGTTTTTTTTGAATGATGGTTAAAAGCTGCAAGACCAATGCAGGTAGACTCCTCAAGTTCTTGTACTATAAACTGCCCAGCACTAAGCAACATCTTGCACTTGGACTCATGGCCTTGTGCTTGCTCATCTGCAGTCATGAGTGCTGGCATAGCATTACTGAGCTTCTTAAGTTAATACTGGCATGACCAAACAGTCAGATGAAGTGCTCTTAAGAATTTTTTTGCTTAATCCACAAATTTAATTCCATTTTTTCTCTTTGGTATAGATGTTGATCTTCATATTTTAGCAGCAATGATCAATGGTAAATAAGCACAGCATTATTGTAAAACTGTGGGGCTCACAGACTGAGGTAGTGGGAGCTGGAATCCTCCAGGCATGGATCTTATCAGGATGATAGAGGAATTTGCTTTGTCTACTGACTTCTGGTCCAAATATCCAGCCTCCTGGCACATGGTATGAAAGGACCATAAATAGTCTGAAGGGAGCGGGATGCCTGGAATGTTTACTGCATTCTAATGCCCTAACTGCAGGAAATTAAAAATTAAATATTGGGCTGAAAACACAGACACACACTGTGCTACTGAGGTAAATTTCACAGATGTGATTTCACCTTCTAAGCAAAAGCACATCTGCTTGGCTTCTGCTTGCGCCGCTACGAGTGCAAGAGGGAAATACTGCCAAGGCCCTCTGTCAGGCATCAGAACATCACTGCCTGTTTCTGGGTGCTCTATGGATGCGAGATATGTGTGTGTCCAACACATCAAGTAAAATGTGGACTCAAAACTAGCCAAGGAAAACTCTTTTCTGGCTAGTACTGCTTCGTGGGCATAATGAAGGAATCCTTTTTTTTTTTGTTTTGACCTCCTATAAAGTAGGTGAAAAATTTTGGGCTTGGAAATCCACCATCATAGCAACATCTGATTATGCAAAAACTCAGTATCTGCTACCTACCAGGCTATGCAGAAAAGTGATAAACTGCTAGGATCCTGGTTCAGAAATTGTTTTGTATCACCAGGATTTAATACTGTAAATCACAACCAAGGCCAGCAAGTCTCTTGGAACTTTTAAAAGGTTTTTACTCAAGGAAAATATTAATTTAACAGGATGTTTTATTCATTATTTTTGAATTATTTTTTTTTAATTCGAATTTTGACAATGAGAAACAGCAGACAACCCTCTTTAACAACATGAGAATCTCACATGTGAGGCAGAGGACTGCTGTTACTTCTCTCATGGTGCAGTAAAAGCCAGCAGAGGACTTTGCAAATAGTGCTGGAAGCTTAAGAGAAAACAAGCATCTGCAGTCACTGCAGCATAGCGCACTGTTAAAACTTGGCCATGTTTGCAAGTAACAGTCAGATCATACCTTAAAGTATTTCTACATTGAATGAACATGAAATCTGAAATTTCTGGTTAAAAACATAATTTGAAACATGGAAGTTCAATGCAGTTTCCAGTCAGAGATACAGGGAACTTATTAGTAAGGTCAATGCATACTTGAAAAAATTTCTTTTAAAATTAGTCAGCTCTCAGCATGAAAGGAATGAATAAGTTTCTTGTATATATAATTTCAGTATCTATATGAATATGCATTACTCATAATGATATGCCTTTCCTTTGGGCATGGAACTGCATACATGGAGCTACAGTTCTGATTTTTAAAAATCACGTCCTGTATACTAGTAAATTTAAAAAGATTCAATCAAAGTTTGTGCAGTATTCTTTCCAGGGTGCACCAGTCAGCTGTAGGGACTCCTGCATGGGTTGTCGTAATCCCCCAGTGGCCTGCAAGACTTTTGGGACTGATAATTCAGAACACATACTGACTTCTCATTTTTTCTGGTGCAGGGCCACGACAGTCATATTACACTGCAGGTATTGGGGCTGATCTAATGCATTTTCATGAGGCTTAAGCAACATGGCATCTCTTTCTACATTAACCAAGAGATATTCCCCAACCAGCTGGCAGAGCTGGGCATAAAAAAAGCAAGAATGGCTCTCTAAAATGACACCCGAGTCCTCAGCAGTTAAACCAACTTATGCATGATGTTAGTTGAGAGGGGACCTTAGAGACGCCCATGCCGACACACAGGTACAAGGACACATTCTGACCAGGTTACCTTTTCAGAAGCTCCAGAGTTACAGAAAATGCTGCTATGCATCCAGAAATTCAAACAAAGCTTTAGCATACCTCCATTTGCAAAGCAAAATTCGAGAAAGCTTTTACCTTTATGTGTGAAGCATTGATGTAGCCTGTATTATTTTCTTTGGTCGGCACCAGCTCTACTCGGTTCTCCTCGTAAGGAACGACCTCCCTGATGCGATTGCGCTCAGTGTTTTCAGGCAAGGCAGCAGTGGTGAAGATCCCATCTGCCTTCTTCTTTGGAATCTGCTCATATTCTGTAAACACCATGCCCTCTTCCAACTTCCTTCTCAAGATTTTGCACTAAGATTTAACAGAAAGGAACATCAGTACATTCGTTCTTCTGGGAAGATTGATTAACCACTAGACCCATCCATCCGTTCTTTGAATTCCAATATACAGCCATAGCATTCTCTCACTCGCTTCTTTTTGCAGTTATCTGAGGAAATATGACAAACTTATTTCTACTGAATGAAACCACAAGCCAATTTTACAGTTTTACATTCCACCTCCACAATTTTGAACATGGATAGCATAAAAAGCAAGCCTGCGCCAAATACAGTCTTGGTTCAGTAAGAATTTCAGTATGAATATGTGATTTCAACATAATAGATACTTGTAAAAATATTTTAAAAATATTTTTTCAGGAAGAAGATCATACTGTGAGAAGTGTGATGTGGTTCACATTTTCAAAATACTCCCTAACTTGCAAGCATGCAATGTCTGTGGTTGAACACAACCCCAAATATGTACACACAGAGGTTAAGTGCTGCTGTCTGTGTACCAGACAACACAAGGTTGCAAATTTCTATGCAGAAAACCAGGAAGATTCTTTGCAAATATGTTTCTCAAATCTTAACAGCAGCAACTGTTTTTAATTTCCAAAATTCCATACTCATGGAACATCTGTATGTGCAAACATCAGGAGGCAAACAACCTTTTTTTTTCCCCTTGAAATTTAATCCCATTAGAGAAATTAACTGAACTCCTTAGTTATATCAGAAAATGGAAGACAGTATCTAGAGGACTGTAGAACTTCACCTGATCATGTGAAAAATGTGCAAACTGTTAGATTTACGGTTTGATCATGTACACATTGTACAGACAGGTGAAACAGAGAACAGCCTCCATTCTCACTGCCTTCAGTAAGTGTTCAAGACATTGAATGCTTTGCCTGCATCCAAAGACACGCCGGTTTTAACCACAGACCTTTTGAATTAGTGGCTTTGAAAACTTTTAAGAGAAACTTTTTTTCACATTTTAGATCAAATTTTTGTATTTTAGAAACTTCGTGCTCTTGGGAACAAAAAGAATGAGCAACATTTCATGAGCCTCCATCTTACCCTCTCATCCATTGGCACCTTGGCGACTTCATCCTGGCTGTCCTCCGGCACTGGAACCCTAGCAACTGAGAGTCCGTTCAGTGCTGCCAACATCAAGGGCCTCTTCTGGGCCTCCAGGCCTGCCATCTTCTGCTTTTCTAGATTCTTTTGGCAAGAAAAGGCACGTTTTCATCTCTGTGTGATTATTTATAATGCCAGTAAAATGTTGGAATGTTTTTTTAATCTCCAAAATCTGCAACTCTCTGGCCAAGGAATGCAGATGATCACCATTAGCATCGTAAATTCAAATACAACCTCTATTCTTCCTCTTATTCCTCAAAGGCCTGCTCCTACATGAGCACAGAATTTTAATTTCAAAGAAGCAATCCCAGCATGTAATGCAGTTTACATGCCATCAAAAGACATACAAATACAATCTCGAGCATTTTCCTGCAGACATTATTCTGAATGCAGGACACACAAAGCATCACTCTGTTATGTTAAAGTAGCACTACCAAAGCCAAGATGCTTGGAGCATCTCTTAAGAGCAATAATTTCAATCTACTATATCAAACAGTAAAACACAGGCCATTGTTTCTCTTCTGTGATGGTAATACTTAAAATGAGAAGTCTTCTGATGCAGTCAGCTGTTATGGTGATTCACACAGCACCCATGATATATTTTGCACTAAAAACTGAGCTCACATGTCCCAGAAACTGAATATAACAGCAGCCAGGGAGGGATATTGTTTATCATATTCATGCATCATATTATGCTATGACATAGAGAACCAGAGCATGAATTTTAAATTCATCCTGCTGCCCCCTCCTTATGCCACTGGGAGCTGAAGCATCAAAAGAGACAGAGCATCGGCAGAAGTACCCAAATTAGGAACATTTTATTCTATTTCCTTAGCAGTTCTTTCTGCTGGATTTGGAAGGAGAGATAAGTACACGAGATGCCTGGTTTTGGGGCACACATATGGAAGCTGTGGTCACCAGACAAGCCAAGCTCAGCTCCTAGAAACATACTATTGGACCTGAATGCCCTCAGACATATGTAAATGGCTTGATTTTTCAAAAGCTTGTGAGCTTTTTCCTCACCACTGGGTTCCTCCAGAGCACTAAGCAAAATACAAACAAATAAGCAGAACAAAAATCCAAACCCACTCTGCTTTCTTTTCATACTTTCAGAAAGCAGGAAAATGCACGAATTTTTTCTTTGTTTGGGGATTTTATTATTTTTACTACTTCAAAGGTAAAACAGAAAAAAAGTCTGCGTTTAACAGATCAAGGTCATCAAATTTCCATTAATATAACACTTGATTCCCATGACAAAAGGAAGGTCTGCACATGTTAAGATTCCTCATCTAGGCTGAAACTACCTTAAAAGCCTAATGCTAAGACTACCCCTTTACTTTCAAAACAAAAACAAAAAAGCACCTTTTGACCAAAGCATCTGAATGGTTATTGCAGAAGAAGAATATTCAAACAACATCCAAGCTCTCTTCTCACCTTCATTTCCATCCTAAAATCCTGTAGGTTCCTGCATTTCAACATTTTTTCTTTCTTCAGAAGATCAAAAAAGCGCATATATATATATATAAATTGTTATACCAATGCCTATTAATTCACAAAAAGTCATGGTTTATAGTCAAGTATCTATTTCAGATTTAGAGTTTAGGAGTTGGCAAGGAGTAAATTCAGTCTCCACGTTGCAACTTAGTAGCTCAGGTTTGATTCCTAACAATTACATCAGCGTAAGGATCCCCAACAAACAAGAACAACGACGAATATGTTTAGAAAACTTCTTCGAATATACAGTAGTATTTTAAATCTAACTAGTTACTGATCTAGTACATTACAAACTCTTTTCTGCTCTAGACCATTTAGATGCTTCATTCATTTGTTTCAGACCTCAATTCTGAAAACAAGAACTACAGCATACACTTTTCTTTCTGTGACTGCAGTTGTACTCCTCCACAGCACTGCGTCAAGTACGTGTAAGTCACTAAGTGATAAGTACCCCTCATATTTCTGTCATTGCTCACCGGCACCGAAAACTTTAAATACTTTTTATTTTAAATTCATTGCAGTTTTAACAGAACCCTATTTCTCGTACTTGAATGCATTTTTTAAAAAATAAACAGTCCAGATGCTCAACTACACAGCCTCTACATTTGCTGCTTCTGTATTTAGATATCAGGTTCCTCGGTTACTGGCAAAACCAACAATCCATATCCTAGAGCTACCAGGGTTTTATTTAGATAACTATGTTACATAAAGTGGCAGGAAAGGAATTAAAGATCATTCGAAGAAAATCAAGAGTTCCCACTATGTTATGTGATACTTAACTCGACATCCTTGCAAAGAAGGAATAAAATGCTAGCGCTGAAACCAAACCTCCCACCCATCTCGGCAAACACATTTCAGACTCTCCCTGCCCTCAGATCCATGGGGGCTGGAGAGGCGTGCAGGCAGAGGGGCAGCAGGCATCAAGGGGGGCTTTGCTGTCAGCCCCCTCACCACCGGCTCCATGCCCTGCCACCCACCTCAAGCTGGCACAGCTGCCAGGGTAGTGGCATCCTCAGCTGGGCCAGACACACACCTGGCCAGCAGCCAAAGAGCCACAGCTGAAGAAACAGACAAGCCCAAGGGCAGTGCATGGGATCAGCCCCTTTGGTGGCCATACAGACCCACAAAAACAAATTGTACCTTGTGCTTAATATCACGTTTCCCAACTATAAGCAAATCCGCAACTTTCCACCCACACGTTCCCCACAGTTTACCTACCCAACAGTTTTCTGGTATGGAAATTGACCTGTGTGATTACTAATTTCCAAAAAGCCACCGCAACAGAGGAAGGCACTTACCCTCATCATGATTTCTCTTTCTATAATGCTGTCCTCAATAGAAAACATTTCAGACACAGGCCTTTCCTTGACTGGTTCTTTCTTGACCCGCTCCTTCACACTGGTGAGGTCCGGCTCTGAGATAGAGGGCCCAAGTGACGACCCATTTATTGCCACTTGATCAGTTCGAGACACACTGATGGCTTTGGAAGGCCCCGGCCTCATGGCCTTGGCCCTGGCTACAGCCACAGAAATGCTAACGTGGTCCTGCCTCAGGGCTCCATTGCTGACACTTTTACGAGGCCCAGGATACTCCGGAGGAGGTTTATTTGGTATTCTAGCCAAGGCAGCTTGCAGCTGAGCACTGTACTCCATGTTCTCATGAAGGGCTGTTATCTGTGACACAGATTCTTGGGTTTCTTCTTCGTCTTCACTTTCACTGCTGTGTATCAGCATCGTGGCATCAGAAAATGTCTTTTTGTGATGATAATGAGGAACTTGCTGAACTTCGTGCCCCATCTGAACCGATTCTTCTGGCTGCACCTGCTCCCGCAAAGTGTTCCTGCGTGGCAGAGGGGCGTTTAAAGTTTTTAGCGCCATGGCTTCTATACCACGCACCATGTTGCTGATGACCTCCAAACTGTGGCGCTTGTTCACCGCTGCATGGTGCTTCACCGCCATGAGGGGCTCGCTGACCTCCTGCAGCGACTGGCGGACAACCGGCGAGCTGTCCTCTTGGAAGGTTTTTACTGAGAGCTGGACTTTACGAGTGACCAGGTCAGGGCTGCTCCCGCTGACATACTTGTGCCGGTGGCTTGCCAGGTCCGGTGTGCTCGTAGCAGGACGTGGGCGCGGGTACGGAGGTGGGGGTCTGAAGAGATAGTTCTTTAACATGTGAGCGGTGTTGTAACTCTGGCTGCTCTGCAGCTGCATGTTGGCCAGTTCTGGGGTGCTGACAGTGTGGGATATGGCACTGGCTGCTGCTTTATTTTGAGCAGCATTATTAGGGTTCATTTGTTCAGAGGGGGCAACAGGCTTGTTATAGCCACCACCCTGGGGCCCGTATGCAATTGTGTAAGGATGTCTCTCTCGAATCTCAGGCTGACTGTAAACTAGGTCTTCTGGCTGGTTATAAGCATGTGTGTTTCCAATATTGAGATTCCTCAAAGACTGACTTTGGCTATCCATCTGGATCACTCCCCTCTTCATTTGCCTCATGACGGTTTCATAGTCTGGAGTTGGTCGGTAAGATGGTACTATGATTGCACTATGTCTGTGGCTGGGGATATAGTCTGCTCTCATGATATCACTTCCAGGGATGCTCAGATTTGAGGACATTGGAGACGCCTGGATGAAGTTCTGTGAGCGATTGAGGGAGTTCATGCTGTGGGCACTGCATACACTCCCATTGGGTCCATTACCATTCAAGTAGCTGAAGTCCATTGGACACCTATCCAAACTGGTCTGAGACCTACAGTAGAAGGTTTCTTCATTTCCATGAAAAATGCTATCTGTGTAGAGCAGAGACATAAATGTTGACAATTTTAACATACAAGGACTCATTCAATCTTAACAAAACCTCAAATGCAGCCTGCACTAGTGAATACAGAGACAGCTTAGTGTACAAGTGCAGGGAGCATGTGGTCTTGAGTCATTGAAATATAACTAAAACAAAGCTACTAAGGTAAACCTCACAACAGCAAAATATGGTAGTTCAGATCCTTGTGGGAGACATAAAAGGGGAAAGAGAGGAAGCGTTTTTGCCTGAGGTGGCAAGGAATAATAAAGGGGCATCTCCTCCCTCAGCATCCTGGAAGGGTTCACTGCTGCTGACACCTTAAAAATCCAGTGCTGCTAGCATATGGTTAACCTAAAAAGTTCTCTTATCTTTTCTGTTGATACACTGCTGTCTGTGATTCAAAGTAGCAGAGGACTGCGGAATTGGAAATCCTACTTCTGACTAATCAACAGTTTTGAGGATCTGAAGTATGATATCAGTTGGGTAATCAAAGCTCAGGGGAAAAAAACAAACAAAAAACCCAACCAAACAAAAAAAAAAACCCAAACCCAAACCAAACAGCAAACCACCCTACAGAGGTGCTATAGCATATTAATAATTCAGCAAAGCATATTTGTGAGGAAATCTAATAGTAAAGACCATATCCTGGATCACAACTTTACTTCAAGACTATCCATGTTGAAAATCTTGTAACAGCTCCCCAGACTCTGAAATCGGATAGTTCTCTGACAATATAGCAAAGTCTGTGGTAAAACTAAGGGAACTTGACAATTCTTCTAAAATTGAGAATATCCTTCAGAGCCTCACCTTCAAAGTAAACAGTAGTAGCTGCTAAATCAAGTCTACTGTATGCAAGGAACTATAGTGAATGTCTCCCCTTAAAACTTATCAAATTCTACCTTAAAATTAGTCAGACCACCACAACTCCAAAACACTATCAGGTATGACAGAGACTTTCTCTGCTGGTGAGAGCACTTCAACTGTACCTCTCATGAACTGCAAAGAACATTAACCTAACAGACCTGGCTACGTATATTCCAGAAGCTGGAGTAGATAAGGGTGTCAGACTGAAGTTGTTTAGGGGCTAGGCTCCATTTCCAGACTTGATCAAAGTAACATGGTACAATCTCTTAAAGAATTTATTTGTCACACGGGGGCATAAAAATAGTTAACCCTCCTTACGTTTGTAAGGCTAACAATGCAGGCAGATGTTGGTGAAAAACTAGCAGAAAAGATTATCTAAAGATATCGTTTCATGGACAGGATGCTATGATTTCTCCTACAGTAAGATATTTGCTTTATCCTTTTCCCTCACTTGGTTTCTCTCCCTGGCCCCAGCTGGCACTGCCTTTGAGTACAGCCATCATACTCCCTCTTTAGAAATTATTTTTTCAGCTCACTGAGCTGGAATACCAAGTTTAAGGTCCATATAATCATGCACAGATATTTTAGAGAAATTTGAAAACTGAAATTGGACTTTAAACAGAAGACTTACTGCATCATTAACTATAAAACTGCTTGTTCTCTTGCAGCAGCAGCTCCCATTTGACCATGATGGCATTGTAAATCTAGACATAAGGGTTAGGAGCTTCTTTGCATATGCATAAAATTGAAGTCCATTAAAGGAAAAATTTATGCTCCAAGTACCTTGTGAATTATGTGTTTCAGTGTAGTGTTCTCCACACTGGACATGCATAGGAGGCAGTATAAAAGGATGTTGTCTTGGCTGAAATAAAAGCACAAAGAAAAAAAAAAAAGAAGTATTAGAACTTCATTCGCTACCATTTCTGCAACGGAAACAGGAAAAATGGTCCTATGCCTTTTCCACTGAATACTGCTCTTTCTTACCCAGCCAAAGGCACATGGCTTGGCAGTTCTTTATAGAACAGAAAATAACTTCTTGTAAATTGCTTGCTAAATTTTGTTATAGAGCCCAAAGCCGACCAGTTAAGACTCCTTTAAGCTCAATCACTTCAAAAAACAGCAGCCACACTTTCAGCTCTTTTAAAGTTTTTCAAACTTTTATTAAAAGCCTTTGCCCTTGAAGAATTAAACCCAAACAAGACAGACACCTAATCAGGACAACAGCAGGAGACAGAACAAATTCAAGGACCTAGAACACTGTTATACAAGCGATAGACCACAGATGGACTTAAAATAACTGCAAATTACATGAACATCGGATCCCCTAGCTAATGAATTAGAGCGTTCCGCCAATAATCTGCACTGTAACAAGTTTTTTAAGTCTCAGAGGGTGCGATTCAGCATTAAACCAACAGGATTATTTGCAGAAAAATAAATCAGAGCTGATGCCATATTGACCAGCTTTGTCCATTGGTAAACCAATGTGTTTGGCAATCGCATTTTGCCACCTGCACTGCAATGTCCTGCCTGATGTCACTGAGCAAAGTTTACGAAAACATATTTCAACTTATGGAGTAAGCAGAAGGAGAAGGAAGGCACTGCTGTCTCATGAATGTATCTTCCTTAACAGCAGAATAAGGGCTTTTTATCCAGGCTGATTCAAGTAGTTCAAGCTATTAAGGAATACCGTGAATGCCCAAGGCAAAAAACCTCAACAAATAATAAATGAACATAATGTAAGTTTGCTAGTGAAGAGGGGTGGGGAAGGGGTTAAATTCACATTTTCTGTGTAACTGGTGAGAAGGAATGAGAATCAAAGATACTGAGCTCACATATGAATCCTTGCATAAAAAAAGTGCTGTGTTAAGCCAGAACTGGAAAACGACAATATTTCTGCTACAACAATCACTTCTGATTGTACTCTTGCTGAACAATATGGGCCAAGGAGCCTGCTGTTGACAACCTTAGTAGAGGAGCTGAGTCTGGAACTAAGCAAGATGTTGGAAAACCTAACAAATGGAGGGCAAAGGAAAAGTGCAAGGAAAGAGAAGTGACTTCAGATGTATACATCTGAAGCAGACAGTTTTCTTTGTGATAGATGTTATGAAAGGTATCTGCAAGAAATTGAGGAATTTTTTTTGAAGGCCCATCTGCCTCTTCTGATAAAAGAGAAGAACCCTAAGGTCTGCAGAATGTCAATATCCAAATTAAGGATCGCTTGGATTTTTTTTTAAATCAGGTAATTAAACATACCATCATATTAAGATCTCCTACACAGAGGGGGGTTTTGCTGGAAAACCAGCACCACCGGGTAGCCTGACAGGAAAAAAGAGACACCATAAAATGATTCTAAAGTAGTAGTTAAAAAAATACAGGTTCAGCATGATGCCAAAACCATATAAAGGGCCTTAATCTGAAAGTAATGAACATGATCCCTAGTGAAGTGGCAGTGCCTCACCTCAAAGATTCCACTTCACTTCCCATTTCTGCCTATTGATTTATTGCCATACAAGACAAATGAATAGGTAGGTGTATGAAGGTATGTACAGTGCAGACAACAGTCAGGAGGGCTTTTTTTTTCCTCTTCTAAAGAGAACTGTTCCAACAAGTTAACAGAACAATTATGAAAAAGGCGGTTGAAAGTTCATCGTGAGCAGGCAGCAGCCCAGTTCACTTTTCAATTGATGAGCCCACATTCCTCCTTTTGATCTTGCTGAGATTTCAGGGTTTTTAAACTTGTTGCATGCTTATGTTCAAAACAAAGTGGCAGCAGGATTTGAAGCAGATTTCCATTTTTCATATATAAATATAGAAAGCAGCTCACTTTTTCCCCTTGTGATATATCTGAGGCCACAGCATAAGAATGCAAAGCACATTTCCTTCAGCTTTTCCTAGTTATTTTCAGGGACCAAGCTAGTAGATACTGAGAATACTGTAACTATGCCCCCGAGAACACAATATATAGCCCGTGTATCACATCATGACACCTGAGAAGCACGCTAAGAATGGAAGGACAAAGAAATCTGGAAACAGCTACCACAGCTTTCCTGCCAGTGGCTAGGAAACACAGAATGCACCTTTTAGATCTATTGGCCTGTATATATATTCACACAAGCAGATGACCTCTGTTGCAGTCCGCAATGATAAAACTACCCTAATATCAGTACCCGCTTAAGCTTAATTTTGGAAACTTTTCACAAGCCATAACCATGCTGTGAGGATATATCAAGAAAACACTTCTGCCCACATGAGCTTTCTGCCATGCAGAAATAGGCTAACAGAGTTTTCATTCTGGAAAGGTCTACAAAGCAGGTATAACCTATATGAGACATGAAAAGTGGCAACCTGCATAGAGATAATATTGCCCTCTGTCTAAGGAACCAGCAGTGCCACTGGTACAGAAACTCACAATCTGTTAAATAAGAGCAAGAAATACTGACACACTAGATGCTAGAATTTAATTTAAAAAAAGAGCATTTTTAGAATTGATTGTGGGGGGGGGGGGGGAAGAGAGACTCCCGTGTGATTTTTTTGGTAAAGATTTCATGAAAAAGTTACCCAGTTTTGTCAGATTTCTAGTTTTTCTGGAGATTAGTTAAATGGAAATAAGTACGATTTAAGAAAAGCTCTGAATTCCAATCCTTACTGAGTATATTAGCTTAACTTAAATTAACAGTAACTTCACACAGAAAATAGGCTCCTAACCCAAGAAGCTGGTAAATTGTAAGTAGTCTTTACACAAAAACATGAGGAATTGAAAAAACGTGAAATGTAACATTACGTAAGGGCTAGGTTTTGATGCATACAGCACAGGACACTTCAAATTCTTTCTAGAGGATATCTACATATTGAAATAACCTCAATCCAGTAGAAAAGATGTTCAGTTTCTGCAGGGCAAATGAAAATATAACGCCTTGAAGACTGTAATTTTAAATACTCAGTGGTGATATTATCCAGTTAAACTAATCAACCTGGGCAGCCACACCCTTGAAACTCATTCCAATCATATTGCCTAAAAGAAGTGAGCTAACGTGCTTATTTGAAATTTAGAAAGTACTTCATCCTACACAATGCCTCATCCCATCAGAAATTATATAGACATTCTGAAAGGTCTCACTGTGGCACATACCAAAGATGACCTACTCCAGGTGGGCCGTCGTCGGATAGGGGGAGGAGAACTTGATTGTCTGTGGAAGAAAAAGAGAAATAATAGAAACTGCAACACTTCAATTCTGAGTCAAGAATAAACAGGTAAAACAAGACACGAACAATCTGTAAGTATTGCTTATTAATGAGATTTTTAGATACACGAATAAATGAAAATAATTCAGGTTCTTCTCTAAATATGGGTAGTATTCCAGTTCCAAACTGCCTTCTGTTCATTATCCCGTTTGGCTTACTTGGAAACAAGAGAAAGAATGATTCATTTTTTAAACCAGAATTTAACAAACAAGTCTCTTAAGCAATAAAAACTGAACATGGCACACAGGCAGTCTCAGATGACTTAAGGTAAACATTTAAAACAGTAACAATTTTATGAAATTGATAGCAATCACTCAAGAGCAATGCACATAGATCAGGAAAAAACAGAAAAAGCAACTTTTAGACAATACTAGCAGAGCCACATACAATGTTAGAGTAGCCAGGTGCAGTGGAAGGAACAAGGAGTGTAGGAGATAAAAAATATGAGAAAGGGAAAGAAACAAATTGAAGGAGGTAGAAATATAGTGCTTACGTGAAGAGAGGAAAGGTGGAATTTGTCCTCTTACAGTTTCTGATCTGGTGAATGATGTTATGTGCGATTAGAGGAAAGGCACACAGGAAAACAAACAACTCATTTTAACACAGAGAGTAGGAAAATTATTTGGCTAGAAAACACACATTGGCATATGCTGTCATCAATATCTGTGGCTCTAACACCGAAGCTTATATCACATGAGACTGTGGTAAGGAGAGCAGTTCTAATGACAAAAACACATTTAAATTCTAGTTATTTCACTCAGTGACCTCGTGACATTCCTTATCTTCATTAGTTTGCGAGTTGCATATGAAGCTGCTACATACACCCAGTTCGTGGTACCCATATGCTTAGGTCTTAGTGATTAGAAAGAAACATGTTCAAAAGCTATTGCTTCTGCAGTCTGTATTGTGACTGGTAAAAAAATAGTTCTCCCTGTTTACCCCAATATACAGCGTCAAAGGGGAAATAAATATCCCAGGATGACAGATTATGGTATTTTGTTTTCTTTCTTGACTGTCACGGGGGAGACAATCAGGATCTTCCTTTGAATTCAATCTCTTTGGGACCATTAAAATTGAATTTAGTATTGGACTACTGAAATCCATTATATGCTGCTAAGAAATATCTTTCCTGGTCTTCCACTCACCTCCCAAGAACTGTAAGCACCATGTGAAATCTAATCAACATCTCTTTTCTGTAACTGAAAAGATCACTCAAAACAATTCGCCTCATTGGACTCTCCTATGCTTTAACTCCCCATATGTTAATATAATGTGTGCACACGTAATATTAGAAAGCTAGACCTTCCAATCTTCTCTTCATCATTTTGGCTTTATTTTCCAACAGATGGCATTACCCAGTCGAACAGATGGGAAGTCCAGGTCTAACTAGAGTTGTTGATAGAGATGAGACTTCTTCATATTTTTCCAGCTAACTAAGATGATAAGTTTTGCAAGAATTTAATGTTCTGTGCTATACACACCCAGCACATCATGAAAACTTCTCAAAACTCTAATATTTTGAAAGCTAAATTTATCTCAACATAAAAAAATGTGTGCTGGTGTAAATGAAACAGCTAACAAACAGACATTAACTTAAAGCTAAAGCCTAATGAATCCTCCTCCACCCGTGTGAGAGGACTAGCTCAAAGCCAGTTCCTAAGAAAGTGCTCAAAGTAGAGCCTAAGGGAGACTTCAGGTTTAGACTTACAATCTCTGCTGCGCTGTGCTAGTACAGCTACGCAGATTAATGTGCCCAGGTGTCCTCCCTTTCTTGGGACACATAAGAGGCAGATAAATTATACTGCCCAAATTAGAAGATGACAACCTTTCCACTGCCCTTAGCTGCTAGATAAGCAGTGCATCTACTACTGCAACTCACATTTTGACATGATAACATATGTCACCTTTCACTCCAGTTTATACTAATACTCTGAGTTATAAACAGCAGAGACCAAGGCCTTCAACTCAAGATTCTCTGTAGGATTTGGCTGCTTGGGGAGCATCAAAGCCTCACAAGGCTCAGAATGAAATTTCATTTCCAATTGTCTGTTCTTGCTGTTGGTTAAAACAAAACAAGAAAAAAAGGGAAAGGGGAAAAGAATACCTGATATAAGTGACTAGGAAAAAAAAAACCAAAAACCAACAAAACCAAACAAAACCAGACATGCCAAAACTCAGGTCAATTCCAAAGCAGGGTGTCAGGAAACAACTCTGAAGAAAGAATACTCACTCTGTGCAGATTTTGTTCTGTTTGTAAAACTTGTGTCTTGATGCAAACAGGCGTGAAATATATTTGGCATTTTCAAGATCGTCCTTTAAAGACAAGAAGAAAATAGGGGGAAAAAAAAATTTATTTTGTTACTCTTACCAAGAAGTGACAAAGAAGAGTTTAAAAAATCCAATTGCAGGAATGCTTGGTAAGATCCACCATGTACAGAATGTGTCTGCCAAGAACATGTCTAGTGCCCTCAAGAGCATTCAAGGCATTAGATTACTGAAATACAGTGGCGTGCCTTTACATGCTGCCACTTCGCGGCTAAGTCACAGTAGGAGGGACAACAACAAAAAAATGGCTCAAGCTTGCTGGTCCAGTTTCTATACTGGCCTTGGTTCAGGGAGATGTGGAGTGATTTCAAATAGCACAGAACAGCAGCGCAGCCCTCTGAGTTCCAGTATGCGCACACATGGTGGCTTATGCCCAGTTTCTACAACTGCTTGTGCTGCTGTACTTAGGCCATTCAAAAAGCACTTCAGTTTTTTGCAGACTTCCCAGCACACTATATTTCAGGATGCTTGGAATAGAATACTCATATTGTTACCTAAATGAAGTTAATTTCACACTCTGCATAAAGTAAAATGTGAACTGTAAGGGGGGTGGTGTTATGCAAGTGAGCCTCTCTAGGAAAGTGGAATTTTAAAAGTTTATTTTTATATAAGTAGCTTTCTTGATGACACTGATCAGACCTTTTTCTTACCGTGTGAAAGAGCACATTCTCTTCTTTGTTGATCAACTCTAGAACAATCGAAGACTTGTTATGTGATATATTCCCAATGTCATTCCACCTGTAGAGTAAAAAAATGCAGTAGTTTGCCAACACATACATTCAAACATTTCACAAACACATTAAGAATCCCTTAGTCAACATCAATCTCATTTTATGGGAAAGCTTTTCAGTAGCTCTTTGGTGAAGAAACATGGTCAGGAAAATAAGGAAGTCATGTTCTGATTAAAAATGAAAGGATATTCAGCTCTTAACCCAAAGCAGGAGAGTTAAAAGAAGACTCACAATAGAAGACAGATCAAAAATACATTCATAATAAACATTTTACTGAACTGTGGCATTTTTTAACTGATTGATTTTAGCCACGTGTAATAGAATTACTTTTTTTTAAGTGCCATTCCTCTCCAAATGCTGTTTCCAAGTTTCATTAGGTGCCAATTCTTGCTAAAGAAGGTTAAGTTGACAACATGGTTATGTAGGCTATGCATACCATGCTAATACTCTGGTTTTATGTTTGCAATCTTTTCTTTTTTTTCCCAAGTAATTGTCAGGTTGCCCAAGATCAGAGTTATAATCTTCTTACAAATAGCTGACAGACATTTGCGTACATTGCATGCAATCCATGGGGATGGAAAGGACTTGTTTGTTCTGTTTGCAGCACGCATTCCTCTTCATGTCATGGCAGGATGCTTGAAGTGCATATTTCCAAACAGTAAGAATCCCAGCACCAACTATAATTTTTACATGTAAAGAAACTTTTTGCTTTTGTCACCTGGCCCAGTTAAAGGATTATCTAATTTCTTCTAAAAATTAAATATGCAAAGCATCAGCTATGCGGAAAAGGGAGCCCTAACATTTTTTAAGCTGACTACTGAAAGCCCTTTTAAGGCAAAAGAACCCAAACCTGACATTCCAGCTTAAGTCTGACACAAGCCTTAGCTGCTGACTGAAAATCAGTGCACCTCAAAAAACACAAATTTTTTGACTGCACAAAATTCATACTCTAGTAACAGGGTCTAGTAAAAATCCACTTCAAGCAAATAGCAACAGTAATGAAAATAGCCACTGGAACAGTAGCAAAGAAGAACGAAACTATCATGGAGATTTCTAGCAACATTTTCATACAGAACAAACCCACACAAGAAAGTTAATGGAAAGACTTAAGCGATTCTTAATAACCAAAATAAACCGCAGAAGAAGTGTGACACAGCCAGGACTTTCAAAATTACAGAATGAGAAAGTTCAACTTCTTTTCAGTGGAGCACCTAAATATGGCAACCAGATTTCCAAAAACGTTGAGCTCCTGGGCTGCCTACTGTGAGGTTTAACAGATTTGCATTCAGAAGCATCAAAGAAGCAGACATAAAGACAAGAAAAGAAAAGGAATCAAAGCCTTGTAAAATAGAACAAGATACATGACAGGCAACTACAACTTTCTTGCCATCAAACCCATTCACAGACATCAGAAATTGTTCTTTATCTCATCTCTTATGGCCAAGAGACCGATCCTGAAAGCAGCGAGGTGACTACTCCTTAGTTAGAGGATTGGCACTACTAAAGTCACATATGTAAGTCAGGGAAAAGTCCCACACATGGACCTCTGGAAAGAAACTGTTTTAAGACAGAAGACCCTAGTTTTTACCTATAAATCACAGTTGTCCTGCCAGTTCTGTTTTTTATGAAGATTCCCATGAAGAAAATACCAAGGTGTATGTCATTTCCATGATTATCCTGCAGAGAAAGGATAATATATTTAGTTTAATAAAGAGACTGGTCAATATATGTATAGGAATGCATGCTGAACTACCAAAGAGAAGCCCTTCTTCAGTATAAATGCAGGACTAACCCTGACTAACATATATTTTGCTGTTTGATTGGACTGATTTTTATTATTTCAAAGCAGATAACACTTCAGTGGATTCATTCTGTTGATTAATGAAAACAGAAGAAGGCTAAATGAGCTCAAGGTTCTCCTTATCAAACACCAGGCAGACCACAAACTGGCATTCATTGTATAATACCCAACATCCCCTACCATTGTGATTATAGCTGTCTAGAGCCCCTGTGAATACCAAAAGCAACAGTCCTTTCACATTCATAGTATTTCTCCAGTCATCTGTTAAAACATGTAGAGATTTCAGAACACCACACCTGGAGATGGAATCCCTCTCAAAAGCTCTACCTTTCATGCTTCCTCCTTTAAGTATTCTGTGTAGATGTTCACAGCATGTCACCATAAAAAGTACATGTATATCTATACAGATACATCCTCAATTGACTTTCAATTGTTGGGTTAAATATTCAACTGCATACACCACATAAAAACAACACAAGAACAGTGGACTTTGAGAAGTCCTATTTCTCTCCTATTCCCACCTATCTCCTTGTGGGCTCCTGTTTGAGAACCATGTGTTCCTGTTCCATTTTGCAATCAGTTTTCTTAAAGCAGCTTATTACTGTCGACAAAGAGGTTTTTCTACATTTTGTACATTTATCAACAAAAACTCACCCTCAGCTGCACTTATAGTAATTGATTCATACTTTAAAGTGGTAAATAGAAATCATGCTAACACAAAGAGTGTGGTTAAAGAACTGCTAGAAGAAAGAATATGAGAGAAGTTCATGCACTGTGCATGCACATGCTGTAGAAACCTGCATTTTAATAGATCAGACTACAGCTGTTCTCCTGGGCTTGCTGTACTTGATCCTCAGAAGGCAATGATAAAGTATCTGCACCTGTTTGTAACTACTAAGTGTTAGGCCTTCTACAAAGAATGGATGCCAATTTTGAAGCTCCAGCCTATGCATTGACTCTCCATGTTGAATATGCCAGCTTCTTCCAGAAGACAGCAGAGAGTCTTCAGTTTAGTCTGATTAGAGGGCAATATATTCTTCCGCCTTCTTGCCAGAAGCAGTTTTAGAAGGCAAAAAGATTCAGAAGATGTTGGGGAAAATGTATGTATTTATACATATATAAATACATATACATATATGTGTGTGTGTGTGTGTATACACAAATATCTATATAGAAAAAAAGAGAAATGTATTTCTAATAGCATTTTCTACCAGGGAAAAGAGAGAAATCTTTCATTTTTCCCTTTGAAAGCAGTTTTATTTTTCTCCAAGGCCAGCACGCTGCTCTTTGATACAAGGCTAACATCTTCCCACAACTTTGCAGAGCGCCCAGTATACTGTTCGTACTTACCTTACTGACATGCAGTAATATCTAATGACATTTCCAACACAGAAGTGTCTTTTGCAGTAGTGTGTGGCATTATTCCAAATTAATTTGAGGAAAACATTGATTTCATTCATTGGTAATAAACATTCCAAATTTGTTGTTGTTGGGTTGAAGTTTTTTTGCCTTTCAGCTCCTCCCTTTCAGGCCAATTCTTAGATTGGTGCTAAAGGACCAATTTTGACTTCAGCAGAAAACTTGTTTTGTTTGGTGTGTGGCTGTGCTTATTTTTAAATTCCTAGTTATCTTTAACTAGCAGAAAAACCACTCAGAGTTCACCACACAGTGGCTGGGTTGGTTCACAAAGAGAAATGGGTCATGTTGGGAACAGCAGTTTTCAGTTTCTCAGCACAACTTTATCATGGCACCATGTGCTCCATAAGGCCAGGCAGTCAGACTATCCATGGCAGAAAGGGGCTTCCAGTGAAGCGAAAGTGACTGCAAATGCAAAATAATCCTTGAAATTCCCCCTTAATTATACATGTGTGGAGGGCCTGTGTGCACATCTAAGACACTGAGGAAAGGTGATGTTAACGCTTGGTAAATAGTGACTTAGAAAGATATGAGAAGGTCTCATTTTCCTATCCTATTAAAGACCAGAGCTGAAGTTCATTTGCCCCAGCCACTCTCCCACAGATAGCACTCAAAATAAAAGCAAGGAGCATCTCTATTTTCCAAGTGAGAAGGCCCAAGCACATAGCAACCTCTTCTGTGACAAGGATTTTCATGAAAGAGAAGTAACACTACAGACTGCTGCAATGTCCATTCAAACTACTAGCAGTCATTTCACCCTCCAGAAGAGTGAAACAAGTCCTGTCTCTTCTGGACAACATTACAAAGGTTGCTGCAGAGTTCTGCATCATTTGATTCAAAGGTTCCTTTATAATATACACTAACATACCTTCACAGGGAAAATTTCCTGTCCAAACCCATCCAGACGTTCCACTTCATTGATGTACATTAACTCAGCCTCTGCTGCTGTAATGCCACTGCAATTAGATTAACAAAAGGGAGCAAATAGTTCAATATCACACACACATAAAGAAATACTAGTGAAAAAACGGGAGTTTTACAAACCACCTGAGAAGATGCTGTGTAGAAATGCACAACGCAAAACCAACTTTCAGCACTAGGATCATAATCAGCAAGGGGGGAAATTTTACTCAATGTCACTAAGAAAAGGTACAAAGCACAGTTCAAATTACAGGAGGAACAAACTGAACTGACCACATTACTCAACTTCTGTATGCATCAAATCTTTTCCAGGCTTTATCAGGACATTGCATCAGGTTGTGGATAGTTTTGGATGGCTGACTTGAGCCACAGGCGCCCTAATTTGCCTGAATAGTATATAAGGCCACTGAAGTTTCTTAAAATGACTTAAAAGGAAAGACACACATTTTCAAGTTGGCTGTTCAAAAACACAGGCACTAAATCCAAAAGTTAAACAGATTCTCTTTTGTAGGAGAGAACAAACCAGCTGAAAAGTTTTACACACATGTCTACACATGCTCCTGTCACAGCTCAGGAATTCACAGAGATTTCAATTCTCAAAAGCAGGTCAGAATAGATTGCAGGTTTAAAGACCTTGCTCCAAAAGAAGGCCACTATTAATTTTTCTCCTCTTTGCTACTCCTTACCACAGCTTACAAACAGAAATATAGGGCCCAGATAAATACCTGAGAGAAAGGAGGTGGAATATGATCTACCTGCTGAAGTGAGGGGAAGTATTTCTTTGTATTGCAGAAATAGCACTAAAGAGCACAGCAGGTGGGAAAACCTTCCTTTCAAGTCTGTGAGTTAACCCAGATCACACAAGCAGCCCATGGTAGAAAGAGAATAGAACCAGGCCTGCTCATGGCCAGCTTAGAAGCTCTCCCTTTGGTTGCATCAAAGGCCAAGGCTTGCATTGAAACTAAGACTGAGAATGGCCTAAGACTCAGAGATTGGTATTCATCTTTTAACACCCACTTTGTCATGTAATGGGCAATGTTGCGTCCTTCAGATAACATTCCTGTTGCATATGGCATATGGGCACTGCCATTTTTCCCAGAACAGCACTCTAGAGGTTTGGATACATCCACCACTGAAACACCTGGACAACATGAAAGAAGCCTGCTCACAAAGGAAGTTTTTTCACTGAAGGACTAATGCACGCACTCCTAGCGCATTAACTAGTAACACTATACTATGTCTTCTCCATGAGACTTAAAACCCAATTCCTGTTCTTTTCATTTCCATTACACTGGGAGCGCGTGCATCCCCACCTCTCTTGAAAGAGACCTTCAGATCACCCCTGATCAAGTCACGGGGTCTTTCACCATCAGGATTTAAATGAAATCAAAAAGAGAAAGGAGTCTACAACATAGCACAAGTAGTGAGTGTTACACACGCTCATTAAACCCGAGGGTGCAAATGCTTGTTTATTTGGCATTAAGTTTCTCAACCATTTTGCGTTTCAAGAGGCAAATACCCTTTTGTGGTAGATTAATTAAAAATCCAGTGAGACAAAGCATAATAATAACATGAATATAGGCTAGTTAAACACTGCCAGGAATGCATGGGGGAGGCAGGGAAGTACTACAGGGATGATAAAAAAAAAAAATCTGAACTTGTAACACATCAAGCTCACCTGTGAGTCCGGTGCTCCTGAGCAACCTTTTGAGTCAGCTCTTCCAAGACAGCTTCATCCTGGTTCCAATCCTGTAAAAATATGAAGTTGCATCAAAAACTACTCAACCAAAGAGAAAGGGGACAAAATGGTACACAGAAATTATGACAGCAGCTATTTTGAGATTGTTTACAGTTCAGGCTCTTCTAGGTAGTTACAGAAAGAGAATCTATCACCAATCAAATTTAAAATTCAGAGCATGGGATAATGAAAATGTGCAAGGAGAAGACAAGAGTTCTGATTTTTTTATAACTTTTTTTGGGAGAGTAAAATGATACTGTTAAAAATAGGGATAAGGTGTTTATTATTCCAAAATAGAGAACAGAGTGTGGAGCACAGATAAAGAATCTTTTCCTGGATAAGGGCCAAAGAAGTCTTTAAAAACACTTGGAAATCTACAGATTAATATATAGCTTTTAAAACAGTCCAAAATGATACACAGAACACAGATAATGAATTCCTGAGTACTTTTTGTCCCTTCCTCATGTTAAAGGGATTGAAAGTTTTGCTACCTCTTCAAATATGCAATAAAACATACTTTATGCTTGCAAGACATTTCTGAGCAGAAACTTTTATATTCTGCAAATTTAATAAAGTGCGGTAGAAACAATTTTGAAATAATTGGGAGTAAGTTAATAAAGGAAGTCAGTTCATAAATTCAAGGCCAAAAAAAAGGAAGCTGGAAAACTTTCTTGCAAAACCTCAAAGTTTTTACATTTATTTTAAAAAGCCTTAAGGCTGCCTGTAATGTACTTAAATACACTGCTTCTTGCTCAATGGGGCCCTCCCCTCTGATATTTGCTTCTGCCACAAAAAAATGGGAAAGTGGTAGCGTGCTAATGAAAAATGGCATGGTGCATGCCTATGCACAGCTACACACCTGTGGGGTGTACTGTGTACATAACTTTGTTCTTTTCACTGCTGAAGAAATGCCATTTGACACACATTGTAGCCTCACAAGATCAAACAGCACAAACATAGCTGCCCCTCCCTCATCCACAAGCTCACTTCACTAATGAATTTATAGCAACGTTCTCGTTCTATGCCCAGGATTCACTCAAATCCTCCCACTTGCTTAGGGACTAGTTTGTATCTGCAGCACTTAGCAACTGTTACTGAACTTGTAGTGAAATATTTACTATTATATTCTCTACTCCTCCCTAGAAGAGCAAAGACAAGTAGCTAAAGAAATATCTAGAGAAACAGCTGATCTGAGAGTAGGCTTCTAAAGGCTGTAGGAAGCAGACACTTTGCCCATGTTCTTAAATTCAGTAACAGTAGCATGGATGAAATGCAAGATATCACAAAGTGAGCACATGCAAAACAGAAGAGAGCTGATCACACCAGCAAGGAGGCACCTGACTCAAAATCAGAGGTTCTAAGAGATGGGCCCAAAGAATAAAATGCTGAATCACAGAGAAATTAACCACCTGAAAGATCATCTAGAGACCTAAAGCCTCCCCTGTTTTTTTTCAGAACAGAAAAATAGTATCAGTATATCCCTGGCAGTGTTCAAGGCCAGGCTGGATAGTGCATTGAGAAGCCTGGTCTAGTGTGAAGTGTCTCTGCCCATGGCAGGGGAGTTGGAACTAGACGGTCTTTAAGGTCCTTTCCAACTCAAACCATTCTATGATTCATTCTATATTGAAAGAACTCTGCAGAAGCTCAATAATTTACAAAGTGATACCCTGACAACACATTTCTCTGTATATATTTGCAGCCATCTTCTTTCCCATTAAGGCTCTCATACACAACTTGGTAAGTCATCAACTATGCACATGATCATCAACTACTTATCAATAGATAAGGTGGCTTACCAGAGAAATCCTGTTCCACTAGTCAGGGTAACAGAAGTTTATTAGTGAAAGGTCAATACTGAAGCCACATTCTATATGTGTATTCTATACAAGGCATATTCATATCTCTGTACATTCATTAATTGCCCTTCTTCCTGCTGACTTTTTCAGGTGGTATCAAACTGTCTACTGGCTCAAAATTGCACTTTCACTTCAGGACACTGTGCAGACGTCACCTTTTTGGACTTAAGAATGGACTGTCCACTGCAGTTCCTGTACAAAGAGCATTGCTAAGTGGGATGAAATGCTTCTGCAAGTGCCTTTCTCAGGCCTTCAAATTACAGTCAGATGAATCATTCTCCCTCTACCGCTCCACTAATTGCAGAGGGAAACCAGATGCCTTAACTTCCAGGCAGCTAAACTCAGGGCACCCCACCCTGCTTCCAAATATTTTTTCCAGTTAGAAAGAATTCCGTGATCTTTTATATTTTATGAAGCTTACACTCAAAACTTATGCTGATGGTCTTATTCACCTAAGATAAAGTCAGCCTTAACTTCAGGAGCATTTTTTTTTTCTTCTCTAATTCATCCTCCCACAGAGGCTCTATGTCATGGACTGCAAGAGCTTGATGTTTGCCACAGAATATCCAACATGACTAGTGATCTAAACTCCTTCCCTAAGCACTGAAGTTATTCACTAGTTTCCAATGTAAATTTAAACCAAATTTACAGCACAGTCCCCGGAGAACATTTTGAGAAGACTTGATTCACGCTTCACTTCACTCCGATAGTCAGCTGTTGTAAATGCACATTCTCTTGAAGAAAGGCTGCATGGTTTGCCCTGTGACACAACATTTACTACACCAGCAGCCCTTATCTCCCCTTGATATGCCACATTACTAATACCACGGTACTGCTAATATACATCTTTTTAAATAGCTGCAAATTCTTTTTTGATTTGAAGACGTGTTTCTTTTGTTGATGCCTGATCCTAGTGGAAGCTCGACAGGAACTGAAATTGGGTTGACCTTCCATAGCATAGGATCATTCAGCTGCAATCAAGTACACTGCAGGTTTTGGGGAGCAAAAATTATTTTCACTACTATTAGTTCAGCGCCGGTGCTTTTACTCTGTTATCAACAAAGCCATCTCTGAGGCATGGAGAAATTATTCATAAAAGACCATAAAAGAGAGGGATAAGGAACTCACCATAGGAAACAACACATATTCTCGGAGGAAGTCATGAGATTCAAACTGATTATAATCTCCAAAATCCGCTGGAGAAAAAAAACAAACACAGTTACTCATTTGGGCACTTTCCACACATGTTAAGACCACACTCAGCCTTGCATAGATGCTCAATTTCAAGTGGGTGAATTCTCTCTGAAGCCACAACCCAGCACAAAGATTTCTGCTTGTGCTTCAGCTTTTAACATGGAGGTCTGAAAATAATAGTGTTGTTACCATAGATCAAATAACAGCCAACAAGTAATTTCTTTCTTTTGATCCCTAATATAATGACCATTTGCAATGCTTAACCATCAGGAGTGCAAGAGTTTCTTTTTCAGTAGCCTTCTTGAACTCAACCCCATTAAAAAAGGCTGAGATTGCTCAGCCTCTTTAAAAATGGTGTACCCTTTTTTCTTCTCCAATGTTTCCAGCCTTAAACAGGCAAAAATAAGTAAACAAAATTTAACTTATCTCTACCACAATACTATACAGTTGTACAAAAGAAGCCTAATTTTACAGCCTATAAGGTTAAAATCCAGTAGTCAATTTTATTAAAAATTGTCAACATGGGGACAGGTTTATCCTTCTGCAGCCAATGTAACAGTACAGGCACTGTATCAGCTTAACTGAATGGTACACACTTTTCTACTCGCTCTTCTACTTCTCCTACATCTCTTGAACAGGTATTCATCTCCATGCTCACGTTCACTTGTATGTCAGGCTAAGGATTCTTGTCTAAATGTCCTTGAAATCATGGAGTTTTGAAAATGCTTCCTTAAAGGTTAAGCTACATTAAAAACTCAAAACAATGCCTGTATTTATCTATCTGTTAAATACACAACAGCTTATATCAAAAGAATATCTTGCCAGGAGGTTTTTATTTTATATTAATTGAACTGCATCAAAGGCCATCTACAAGATTCTCATATTATATAAGATGGAAATCCCCAACATAAATCATATTATCTAAACCTTCTTTCAAAGCTTCTAGACAATTTCGCATATCACAGGATGCCAAAAATGCAGTTTCATTTTGTTTCTACCTCAGAGTTATGTTTTAACATAAACAGAAAGAAATCAAAATGGGCATGTAGGTTTAAAAGAAATAAGTATTTCAAATACCTTTGGTTGCATCACATGCAAAGGACAAATGAAGTAATACAATGTCAGGAATAATAAGATTGACTTGCTCTCAAAATTAGAAAAAAGCTCCAAAAACACAGAAACAATGAAACATATTAAGTATCTATTCAGACCTAACTTACACAGAGGAAAATCTTCATTTACCTAAACTGAAAGATTCATTATGGAATCTTTTACATAAATTTTCCTTTATTAATCAAACATTTCAAGATTTGACAATAAACATTTTTTCCTTAAATTTTTAACCAAGATAAGATACTAAAATGGTATTTCTACTGCTCTAAAAAAGACCATATTAGCCTTATTCTTGACTGAATCTTTAATTTACAGAATCAGATCTTCATGTTTGCTATTTATGTATACACTTCCCCCTTCACACTCAGAGAGCATCCACAGAGCTCGATTATTGAAACTCTACCTTAGGTTCTCATAGTTGTGGAAAGACAAACATACTTTATTCAAATACAGGACTTCTTCCTCTGCCCATATACATTATATGATCCCATTTTTATTGATGTCCTTAGTAGGCTCAGAGTAAAAATCATGTTGTAAGAAGTAGTTTATTATTAATTTATAACTCACATAACAATTACAGCTATGTGTTTTTTCATACTTCACATAGCACTATACAGCAAAATGAGTTTTTAATTAAAGGCAAAATTAAAGCTGTTGCTGTGCTCTTTGATGTAATTTGCATTTAAAACTAGAGAACGTGAAGCAAATTCATTATTTCAAAGTACTCCGTGGTCAGGGTTGGAAGAATTGGAGTTTTGTTCAGATTCACTTACATGAATTTTACAAATAGGAAAGTTGAACACTGTGATGTGGTCCATCATTCCCTCCCTTAGGGTGTGTTTCATCAACAGCAGTCCACCCATGTACTTTTAAATCAATAGAAAACCCAGCTGTTGTGAGTAGGAGTCACAGAAGGCCTTAGTTAGTGCCCAGTCAACATACAGAACAAACCAAAAGAGCCACTGTTGGAAAAAGGCTGTCAGGTCATGTCATCTTACCTTGCACTGCCAAGCCAGCCAGTCGAATTCCCTGCTCAAATGAAGAAATTAATCGGCCATCAAGAACATCCTTTTTCACTTGTAGGTAATACTGGTATCTACAAACAAAAAAAGAGCATGAATTATAACACCCATATAACACCCATTTCCTACAGAAAAAAAGACTGCTGAAAGGAAGAAAAATTCACCCCAAACAGGTCAGGCTGTTAAGCAGCAGTCTGCACCTGGCATCAGAAGCTCCACATTACCAAAACAAATTAATACAATTTCTACACGTACAATGCTTCCAGGTGGATGAAAAGGAAAATAAGAAGTTCTAATTTGTGTTCCCTAGACCACATAGAAGAAACATATCTGCTGGGATTAGTGCTTTCATTTATAGAGGTTACTGAACACAATGAAATCACCAATGCAAAAAAAGGGACTGTTTCATATTTCTTCTGCTCTTTTGCTCCAGTGTCACCATTTTGATTGAAGAAAGACAGTTTTAGCAATGTACATTGGTCTGCAGGTGTAATTTTAACTGTGGCCCATATAAAGGTCTTTTTAATTAGTATCTTTCATGTGTAAGAATGACTTAGACACACAAATCAAGCAAACCCACCTTCTAATATAATGCACTTTCTGATCTGCAGTAGCTAATCACAAGACAAACTGTAATAGCTAACCACACTAACAGAACTCACACATTTGTAATAGAGTAGATTAAGGCAAATAGGAAGCTTTCCACAAAACCCTTAACGAGTCACTGTCCCCATCCATGCATCCCCTTCTCCACTGAACTGGACCAGATCCATAAGTCGGTCAAAGCTGCATGGGTATGGTAGCAGTCCCTTTGGCAAATCAAGTTATAGCCCCATGGAGACAGCTTCGTTATACAGTTGAGTTACAGCAATATACTGATCTCATGCTAATTAGTTTAAACTTTTGGTGCAGACATATGTAAACCGGTCACATCTGAGATGAAACACAACTCCTTCCCCGCTGACACGCAACTCCTCATCAGGTCTGAGCCCAAAGGTCAAGGTACTGTACCAGTGTAGCCACAGTCCACGTGTGCACTCAGCCTCATTCTCCCAACCCCTAGATGCATCTGGGTGGCCCAAGTTATGAACCCCAAAAACCAACAAAGGGGGTTTTTTCAGGCTGTGACCAGGCATGCCAGTCTGGCTGCAGCTGAATCAGGTTAAGAGGTTACTGCATTCTTCAGCTGCATGCATGCTTGCTCCCTAAAATGGAGGGCATCCACTTAAGATGGCATGGTTTTAAAAAATAATTGCTTGAGATAAAATGGGGTAGAAAGAAACGATACACAAGCATACCAGCCAGTCCCACAGACTGCAACCTCTGTGAGGAAGACAGCAAAGAACAGTTAAAAGTCTGCGTGCAGTAAACTCCTAACTGGGCCCAACTGCAACCAGCACAGCACATCTGAGCTTACCTTTGAACCTTTTAGCAAAGAAACTGTTCTGCTCTTGTTTTAGAGTGTAAGTTACCTTCCCAGCCCCAACTGTAAAGGAGAACCACTACAACATCACCCCTGTTACAGAGACTTCACTGCCTTAACTATACTTGCAAATGTTACCATTTAATTCTGTGTTGAGGCATTAGAAAAATATAATCTCATTTAAAATGCTCAGATTCAGCTTTTATAAAGCCTAATAAAGATTAAAACTCCAGGGGATTTTGAAATTTGATTGAGAGAGGCAATGTAAAAAGCATACGGCTTCTCAGCTTGAGCCCTGTGCTTCAGCCACGAGTTTCACACTTGCTTGGTCTAAGAGACAAACGAGCTTGTTTCCACTTCTTTGCAATGACTAAATTCCAATTCTGAAAATACACATGCTTTCATAAAAGCTTGACATAAGCCACTTTATGAAGTATGCAGGTGAGCAAGTGCTCACTGAATTTGGTCTTCCAAACGTGTAGTCCCAAAAGCAGCTATTGGTGCCTATGCTAAATGTACATGTGAGTTACATATCCTAGTCTAACAAGAAGAGTAAAATCCACATCTGCCATAAAGTTAGAGCTATTCAAATCAAACTAAACTCTTACAGTGACATCCTAGATCTACAGAAGTCAAGAATGTCACCAGCTTCCATGACAACGTGATTTCAACCACAGTGTCCACATAACTATAAACCACAGAAAAAATTACTTAAGTAAGCATATCACAAAAATACAATGTCAATGCAGTTACTGTAGTATCAAATATTACGACCTAGACTTTCAAAAGAAACACGATGTGGGGGGTTAGTTGCCATTTTATCTGCCAATACTTTAGGAAAATTAAGACAGCAAACAACACCCACAATCTGAGAAAGACACCCATTTACAGGCAATCTCACTCAATCATCAGAAACAGGTTGTATTTAAAAATCTTAATACGAATATTCTACAATATTACAGAATCACAGAATGGGTTGGGTTGGAAGGAATCTTAAAGATCATCTAATAAGTTCAGAATTTATTATGTATTGCAGATTGATATACAGCAAGAGTTTAAAGGACAGATATAATTAGTGCTCTGACATTAACTAACACGTGTATCCATGATGAAAAACCTCATGGAGAAAGTTGTCAGCTTTCACAGGCTAACGCTCTGAAATGCAATCACCCGCTATGGCTGACACCTGTTTCAATGGAAGTGCCAAAATAAACTGAAGAAGATTGAGGCAGAAACCCATGGACTGTACCTGCTTCATCTTTGCCCCTGAACAACAGTGACAAGTGACAACCACCTAAGCAGTCCCCAGTATCTCTTTAGGTAGCTAAATAAAGCACGAAATGGGACATGTCCTTTCCCAAGGCATGAACTAGGGTGGCTAATTCCACTGTCAAGGCAGAGAAGGAGTATACCCTGGAGGAAGCTCCACTACAAGGCTCTAATAACTCCACCAGCCACAGATTCATGGCTCAGCCATGCTGCAAAACTGTGGTCAGACTCCCTGCCCAGTCAATGGAGAGAAGCAATTGGCCCATATTCTGTCAGGGATTTGAGGCTCCTCCATCTGAAATTATGTTAAATGCTGTTATTATGTCAATATGCTAGCTGAGACTGCTCTTTGTTCGCTTGGATTGCAAAAGTAGATTTATAATTTGAGGGAAATCAAACATTTTTAAAATGCTTCAACTATAGATTCACTGAGACAAGCTGTTCCAGGACAGCAGACAAAACATGCATTTCATAAGCCTTCTATGAGGTGGTTTAGTTGGGAAAGCAAATGGAAAGTGAACAAAAGATAAGTTTGCAATCTGCACCTCCAAATAATAAAAGACAAAAAAATCAAACTTAAGACTCACAAAGCTTCAGTCACAGAGCCATTTTGGCATATTAGAGGAGTGCAGGGCAGAAAAGACACCGCCATAGCCAAGTGGGCTGAGAGCTGAAATCTCCCACCTTCATTGTCCACTTTGGGTTAAACATTTTTAGCAGAGCCATTGTGTATTCAATATAATAAAAAAAGGCTACTGCAGTTTGCCAGCCTGTAGCTAATTCCAAGGGGAATGGGAGTGGACAACAAGTCTAAGCAAAGCCATCATTATAACGATATCATTTCCCACACTCTATTTAGCCAACATACAAAACATTAAAAGTATATTTGCATGTATTGCATCAAAAAGCACACTTTTTATAGAATAAAGAAGCTGCAACTAGACAACTATAAGACAACATCTCAAATCCAAAATAAACATCTGTATTTTAGCAACCCACACTACATGACAGGAAAAAAAAACACAACAAAAAACCCCACAAAACTCCAATAGTATTAGTAAGCAGGAGATAAGGGTACTGGTTTAAAATTTAATTGTAATACTCAGATTCAGATTCTGCTACAGCTGTGTAAATGTAGGGAAACTCTATTTGCCCATACAATTCTGCATAGACCTCCCAAGATCAGGGTTCACGTTTGTTCTCCTGTCACTTCAAAAAGGAACGTGAGTGTTTGTATAGTGTCACTGAATTCATTGTACCCTTCCATCACCACTCTTTATCTGATGTAAAACCGCTGTTGCTATTTTATACATGCAGAGAATAGCTTCATTAATTTCACCAATTTCCATTCTTTTCAACAATCAATGTTTCAGATACCAAAACCCACAAAGAATCTGGCCTGATCAATATGGGAAGCGAGACCTTTGTAGAGAAATTAAAGGTTTGTTTACAAAAGTAAGAATATGGGTTAGGTTTGAGAGTAATTACACCGAGTCTTCAGGATTTTCTTACTAGTGATTTCCACAAAGAATCACACAGCAAATACTTCCTTACCTTAATAATTACTCACTATTGTCAGATATACCAGCCTTGGTAATTAAGCAGCATCCAAATCTGCTAGGAAGTGCACAAAAACAGAAGAAAAAAAATGCTTTTTGCCAAAGGGATTTACAATCTAACTGCATATTTTATACGAAATGGTGAAACAATCAAGTTAATAAGGATTAATACTGTTTGAATACTGTGATGTGATCTGTCTGCATTTTTGGTATTTTTCCCCTGGTTTTACTTTCCTTCTCTGTACATCAGGGACAGGAGGGGGTTTGGAATATACACGTTATCTCTAGTGCAGCAGGAAACAACTTAAAAAGCTTTTTCTTTGATCAGTGTGTTTTATCTGGAAGTTTCAAGCTGGTATAAATACTTTACAGTTTCAGTATCAATAAATATTTACCTTTAGTGTATCTGAAAATAAACAAAGCACTACAAAACACGTATTAGTTACTCAAGAGGTACAACTCCTTTAAAATAAGCTCTAATGATGCAATTACTGGCATGACTAACTTTTTTATAACTCATTAGGTACCATTTTGGCAACAAGCCTATCTATTGGATAACTGCACAGCTATGTAGCTTAACTTCTTCTCTGAAGGAAAAGAGAACTGCTTTACCATTTCCTATATCCAAAATAAAAGTCTTTAAGACTCAAAGAAGAAACAGATTGGTCCACAAGTGGTTCAGCTCAAGAATTTTAGCTCTTTTTTCAACTTCAAAAAACAATTGCAATTAGAGTACAATATGATCTTCTAAAATTAGGAACACAATAAAAGTCTCATTGAGTTACAACAACAGTCCAAGTCAGCTCATTTAGGTTTATCTTAG